GCTGAAAACGAATATTCTAAAAAGACTCATACACATTCTATATCTGAAATAAACAGACTTAAACGTTAGCCTTGAAAATAAAGCAGATAAGGAATATGTGGCTAGTAAGTTAGAGAAGAAAGGGATAAGGAATATGTGGATGAAAAAGATAACGAAATGAAAGAAAGGTTGACTGGTACCATGAAATGGACATCGAAGACTTTTAAAGTTAAAGCCGATACAGGATGGGTTTCAGGATGTTTAGACCTTAAAGCAGATAAAACTTATGTTAACGATGAGTTAGAGAAGAAAGCAGACAAGAACCATACACATACAAGTTTTACAACTGTTGCTATAGAAATATTGAAGGAACGGTTGAAGAAACTGGTGGGGATCAATATATTGTAAACCTCCTAACTTTCCACAAGGTTTAACATCGGATGACGACATAACGACGATGAAAAACATTAGATGTAAAGATGTTTATGTCATGAAGGATGAACATAAATTAAATTCACTGCTCAAGATTTATATGACAAGAAAGCAGACAAAACAGAGCTTCAAACATTAAAGACAGAATACTTCAAACATTATATCCTATAGGCTCTATTTATACGTCAATAACTCTACCAGACCAGAAACAGTTCTGGGTTTGAACCTTGACTCAAATAGTCGACAGGTTTTTGTATTGTGCAACTCTTCAAAGGAAACAGGTGGAAGTAAAACGATTTCAGGTGAAAATTTACCTGCGCACAGTCACTACATAGATTTAAGTACATCTCAAGCAGGTTGGCATAAGCATAGATATTGGGATTGGTCAGCAATGACAAAAGGTAAGGATATGATGTAAAGACAACGTTAAGTTTGCTATAGATTGTTACTGGAGTAACACTGAGGGAGGAGGAAACCATACACATCGCGTTACAGGATATACGCAAACAACGGGACAAAGTAAAGAATACATGCCACCTTACATGACAGTTTAGCATGGTATAGAAATGCTTAGTCGTCATTTTCAACTTCTTTAGCATATTCGTCAGGAGTTGTCTTATATTTGTTAGGAACTGTCTTTGAAAGTATACCACCTTGAACTTTGACAAGTTTGAAACGAGGTCTGACAATAGTAGTTTTATCTTCTGCTTGCAGTCTGTACATTTTGCCATGTTTTGCCTAAAACTTCATAATATTCTCTTGTATACTTTCTTCTATTTTTACGAACACGAATGTGAGTACCTGTCGGGTTCCCATTGTTGTCATAGTCAATAGTATTTTCATATGGGTCGCGTTTAGGTATTTCTATTTTTACTTTGTCGCCTTTCTTAAGTTTGAAGCCCGGCATTCTTTCTTGTTTGTCTCTTTTGACTAAATTATTAAATATATAGTCTTTCTCTAAGTCAGGGTTGTTTTTCATTTCTTCGGGGGAGTGGTTTCCCAAACCTTTTTGTTTACGGCTATTGTAAATATTTAAAACTTGTCTCATCTTTGCCATGGAGAAGTGTCTATATTTGTCGTCATATGACATTTCATTTGCTTCACCACCTTGTGGTTGGTTTAAGTCTCTTAACATTTTTATACAACCGTCAATGACACCAAGAGCAGAATGGTTTTGGTCGACAATGAAATATTGGTTTACATTTTTTGAACGCAGATAGTTTTTTACATCATCTGATTTGAAAGAACTTTCACAGTCAGATGTCAGTTTTGTTGGATGGTATTTGTCAACGAATATTGTCAAAGCAGTTTTCACATCTAAAATATTTTTGGACCATAATGGTATGGCTTCACAGTATCTTGTGTTTTGACCGACAAATATTAGCCAGTATGGTGGTCCATCTTCTCTATACCTCGGAATGTTTTCCAAGATATCCATAAACCAAGCATTTGGTGTTGAACTAAAGATTTTACCATGAGTGCTTTCTTTGTCGCTTTAGAAACATAGGGGTCCTTGTTTGGATTCGTCATTTTTTATCCTATAAGAAATGGGTTTATTTGGCGCATTAGCAGGAGTTGCATCCAGATTTTTGCCCGCAGTGGGAACAATAGCCAGAGGTGTATTTGGAGTTGGAAGAAAGATTTTGAGTACATTAGGTATACTTAAAGAGAAAGCACAACCTATTATACAAACTGTACAGAAAGGTTGGGATGTAGCACGAGATGCAACAAATCTTATTCCAAATCCTGAAACAAGAGGAAAAGTTCAAGGATGGATGGACAATGTAGGAAGACAAGCAGGAAACTATTATAACAAAGCAAATGACTACTATAACCAAGCAGGACACTAATATGGACCAAGGTGAAAGATTCTTTAACAGAGGATATAACCATGCACAACAATGGGTAAACAATAACCAACCGCAACCACCTCAAACGTGGGGAATGTAAAGTTTTTTACTGAGATGAAATGAACAATACAGCATTGAGACAAATGGGTTCAAGATGGATTTGTCGGCTTCCAGCAGTTACACACGTGTTTGTCAAGTTTCTTCCTATACCTCAGGAAGTTTTAGACCGACTTAAAAACAACAACAACCAGTTGAAAACAAACCAAACTAAAATTTTTTACTGAGATGAAATGACCGAAGAAGTTGAAACGGTAGATTTGACACCACAAACAAAAAGTTCAGAACCATTGTCAAAACCTGTCAAAGAACTTACAGATGAAGAGAAAAATTCAATAATAGAAAGTGCCAGGTCTGGAAATACAAACCCTAACTACAAAGTCACTTTTCATAAAAATGGAACGGCAAGTATCTCAAAAAAGAAAACAGACTCTCACAAATAAAATATTGAAGTCTGAAGGAGCTTTCGAGACAACAGATGGAAAAGTTTACTTCACTGACCAACAGTTCATTATAGAACATCTCATTGACTTAGAGTCGAAATATTCTAAACTTTACAACAAACACAAAAAGTTGAAAGGAACAAAAAACAAATGGCATATATTTATGAAGATGTTGACGACACAACTGTTCCTGCAAGTGAAGTAAAGTCAGAGAAACCGAAAAGTGACGAAAAAACCGATAGAAGAAGAAAAACCAAAAACTGAAGATAAACCAAAACCAAAGTTTAGTTTGGAAACTAAAACCAAGTCAACCTTCATTAGCTGGTATGGGTTGGCGTCAAAGACTTATGGCAGCAGGCGGTTATGTAAAGTAAAGAAAAAAAATATTTTTTTATTTTATTTGAAATGTACGCTGAGTTTGTTGGAGAAGACCGTTGGGAAACTTGTTTGTTAGATGAGAAATATGAAATGGCATACCATTTTAAAACAATATAATTTTTACATATATTAAATGCTTCAGGTTGAAAAACAAAGAACAAAAGTAGCAGATACAAAACCGTTAGACTATATCTTTACAAATGCTGGTAGGACTATTTCAGATGAAGAAATTTCATCCCGAGTATACAGGTTTGACTATCCAATTCGTTGGCTTCAAAAGTCCTTCCAGATGCAAAGGCAATAGGATTTAGAAGAGTTTTGTTTTCAAAATAGAACTAACGCATTTATGTTCGCAGTATATTTTCATGGGCAGTATAAAGGTTCTATGGTCTAATAGACAAATTTGACGAAATGAGAATCTTTACAGTTCGTTCAGACGAAAGTCTTGAGAAAACTCTAAATGACTTTCAAACTCAAATGAACAAATATTATTGGGAATTTCAAGAAAAATACGACTCTTTACTAAATGGAACATACTATCTGAAACTAGAATATGACAAGATGAACTCCACCGTTTCATTTCAAAAGATTGAAATTAACCCTCCAAGAGATACAAGAGTTTTTATATTGGAAAGTAGACAAACGTTCTTGGCCACAATTTCTTCGGTTACTAAACCAGAACGAACCATTACCACCAGATGGTCCATTTAAATTTAACTTCCACCAGCAGAATTTGACAGTTTATAGAAACGTGTTTGACCCTCAAAATGTTATGTGTCATGCAAGTTTCAGTTCAAGCAACAATAGTTTTCTATGTATTGGTAAGGACTTTTTATGACTTTGCTTCTAAATTCTACGAACCACCTAGTAACAGTTTCTCTGACTTTCAAGTTTGGTTCACAACAAATGGTGTGCAACATATTAATTCCATTGTACTATGACTTTTATCTCGAATTGTCTTTCATATATAACTACGGAAAAGTGCTGAAAAAGTATTGAATGTGAAGATATTAGAAAATAACATTTTTTCTAACATCGTAGAAAACTCATGAAAACAATTTATTTTTGACACTTTCACAAAAAACATAAAAAAGTGAAGTTAAACGTTAAGGTTTTACTGAACTGGTTGGATGTCGCCTTCACAGGTTATGTAGAACGGCTGACCGAGAAAGTGGAACAGTGTCTGAGAATTTGTATAATTCGTGGAATTGGACTCTCTCTGTTTGGAAGTAGTATCCAAGGACGCTTGGCAAAGAACTTGAGAAGAGCTTCTTTCTTTGCTTGCTTTAATGCCATCGTAGGCTGTCCCGTCTGGTATTTGAATTGGAATTCCAGTCGAAATCTCGAGAGTCAAGGCAGCCCTTCCAGAAATAGTGGTGAACTTGACCTTGGGCCTTCATGACCTTGCGCAAGTACTGCTTAACAAGCTCGTTAATTTAAATTAGGTAAACTGCCTCATCTAATGGCTCGATGTTGTCCATTGCACTGCTTCAGAACAATACTTGCACTGCTTCAGAACAATACTTGTACTTTTTCAGAACAATACTTGCACTGCTTCAGAAAAATACTTGTACTTTTTTCAGAACAATACTTGCACTGCTTTCAGAACAATACTTTGTACTTTTTCAGAACAAATTTCCCGTAAAAGCTCTCAATTTGTGAGAAAAATTTTCTGTTTCAGAACAATACTTGTACTTTTTCAGAACAATACTTGTACTTTTTCAGAACAATACTTGCACTGCTTCAGAACAATACTTGTACTTTTTCAGAACAATACTTGCACTGCTTCAGAACAATACTTGTACTTTTTCAGAACAAGACTTGCACTGCTTCAGAACAATATTTGTACTGTTTCAAGACAATGTCCGACGTACCACCAACCCAGTCCATTCCCAAACCAGAGGAACCTAAAGCACCACAACAGTCTCATCAGCCTATGCCTTACTTCCCCAACCCTTGGATGTTCCAGCAAGCTCCACCCCAGCAATTCCAATCTCAATCCAAATCGAAGAGAGACCAAGAGTTCGAAGAAGGTCTGAACCGTTTACGCAAAGAGTATGCTACAGCTCCAATTGAGAGAAAGTTGTTCCCGGACCAAAAAATAAAGTTTAGGGTAGAAGGTTAGATCTAACCTCTTGAATTTTCATGAATTTTCATGAATGTTTTGTCATGACTTCTTCGTAAATGTTTTGTCATGACTTCTTCGTAAATGTTTTGTCAAGACTTCTTCGTAAATGTTTTGTCAAACATGAACGTACATGCTTTGTCAAGACCTCTTCGTAAATGTTTTGTCAAGACTTCTTCGTAAATGTTTTGTCAAACATGAACGTACATGCTTTGTCATGATTTCTTCGTAATGAGTGTAAAGGACCCAAAAATAATGTTTAGGTGAAGTGGTGAGATCTCACCTGTTTTTTCACCTGTTTTCTACCCTCTTGAATTTTCATGAATTTCCTTAAGATAGAAAAAATATAATTTAGTTTTATTTTTTTATTTTGTATGTAAAGATATGATTTCAGGGATTTTTTTGACGAAGTGTTACTCTTCACTTCGTCAAAAAATAACAGTTATCTAATGAAAAAGTGTCATTTTTTGTATTTTTTTGTATGTTAGATATGATTTCAGGGATTTTTTTGACGAAGTGTCAATGTTCACTTCGTCAAAAAATAACAGTTATCTAATGAAAAAGTGTCATTTTTTTTGTATTTGACGAGAATGTCGGGTAAATGTTTTGTCAAGACTTCTTCGTAAATGTTTTGTCAAGACTTCATCGTAAATGTTTTGTCAAGACTTCATCGTACATGTTTTGTCAAGACTTCATCGTAAATGTTTTGTCAAGACTTCATCGTACATGTTTTGTCAAGACTTCTTCGTAAATGTTTTGTCATGACTTCTTCGTAAATGTTTTGTCAAGACTTCTTCATGAATGTTTTGTCAAGACTTCTTCGTAAATGTTTTGTCAAGACTTCTTCGTAATGAGTGTAAAGGACCCAAAAATATAATTTAGGGTAGATGGTTAGATCTAACCTGTTTTTTCACCTCTTTTCTATCCTCTTGAATTTTCATGAATTTTCCCGAAATAAAAAATAAAGTTAGTTTTATTTTTTTTATTTTTTTTATTTTGTATAAAAAAATAAAAATGTCAACAATAGGTTCTACAACACTTCAAAGAACAACAGCACCAAACTCGTTAGTCATGAATCCAACATCTATGTTAGTAGAGATGAAAAGCTTCATTCCTTCTTCATATACTTTTGAAACAGAAATCCAGAAGATAAAGCAAGAACTTTTAACATGTAATTTAGACTGTAGTGCGAAAGATGAAACAAATGAAGAATATCTTTATGAAATGCAGGACCTCATCGACCATTTACCCAAATTGCCTGAAATTCAGCAACAAAAACTAACTATTCCTGAATTCGACGAAATAGAAGTCAAAGCAACTGACTCAGTAGAAATAAAGAAGTTCATACGAAAGGTAAACTATGAGTTTCTAGGATTTCATTGCAACCATAAGGTTATGGACAAAGATTGCGACATAGTATATAAGAATGTTTCTGACATATATAAATCGGGGGAGTTTAAGACCTACGACAACTTTGTTTCGTTAGTTGCTGAATGTGTATGGCAGATAAGAGATAAAGATAGAAGATGTAAAGTATGGAACAAACAGATAAAACCAGCAACTTTTGAGATGAAGAGAGCAATTGACGCTTTAGTTGTTTTAGCAGGTAAGGTTTCAGAATATAACGCAAAAATGAACCCGCAATGTTCTAAATGTAAAGCAGCAATGAGGAAATATAACTACTCCGTCAAAGAGATAGAAAGAATGAGAAACGACTATGCAGACTTAAAGAAAGAAGCAGAGAAGCCGGTAGAAAAATAAAATGGACATGTTAGCATTTCTGAACAAAAACTATCCAACAGCAGAAGATTTCCTTCTATCTGACGTCAAGAAGAAGTATAAAGAAACTTTCGGTCTCGTTAAAACATTCGATATCCTCAGCGAAGAAATAGAAGCTACAAAACTGTTTAGGATTTCAAATATACATCGTACAATTCATGTAAAACGGTTGTGAAAAAAAGAGGTGAAAAAACAGGTGAGATCGCACCACTTCACCTAAAATATATTTTTGCTGAAAAAAATGACCAAATTTCATTATATAACTGTTATTTTTGACGAATGAACTTTGACACTTCGTAAAAAATCCCTGAAATCATATCTTTTATACAAAATAAATGAAGAATACGATACATACAGTTTAACAAACAACTCCGTCTCATTCGTTCGGTCAAAGACGATATGTACCAAATGCAAAGTATTTTGACAGCATGTTTTGCTCCAGAAACCAAACATACAGACACTGGTTCAAAAACCAAAGCACACAAGAACTTTTGAGTGAAATTTCTCTAGACCGACTTTTTTCGGTCTAGCATAAAACTCATGAAAATCGTAAAAAAATGACCAAATTTCATGAATTTCCTCATATGTTTGCTACCCGAGGAAAAACCCGGGTAGAGATTCCGTACGAAAATCGTAAAAAATTGCGAGTAGGGAAAAAAACCTGGTCGCCTAAAACTCATGAAACGTGAAAAAATGACCAAATTTCATTATATAACTGTTATTTTTTTACGAAGAGAACTTTTGCACTTCGTAAAAAAATCCCTGAAATCATATCTTTTATACAAGATAGAAAAATAAAGTTAGTTTTTTATAAAATATTTTTTTTATTTGTATGTAAGAACATATATGACAAACATTGAGTTTGAAACAGTTAAAAAGATAGACAATGACACCAAAAGTGGTTAGAATAGGTGATTTAAACGTAAGATACTCAAAGAAATACAACAAATATTCTTTGTCAGACATTTTATCTCCATCTGGAAAGAAAACAAAGGACTGGGTTAGAATTGCTTCTAGTCAGAAAATTTGACAAGAAATCCTGAGCTTATGATATCGGTAAGATTCTATGGAACTACAGCATATCTTATAGACAAAAGTCTTATACCAATAGTTTTGTTATGGTTAGACCCAGTTGTTGGATATAACTTCATAACATATGGTTCATTCGATACGGAACGTTGCAGTGAAGGCTTACTTTACATCGTTCAGAAACCGAAGGACTTCAATACAAAAAGATATAAGATAGGAAGAACATATAATATAACTCAAAGATATGACAGTACAGTCAATATAGTCAAGGTTGTGTTTGCTAATGATATGAGAGCTGCTGAAACAGAAACTACTTGAAAAGTTGAGAAAATGTATGGTCTCCATAAAAGGTAAAGAAACGTTTGAAGTAGATGAGATAGATAAAGCTATAAAATTATTTGACGAAGTTGCTGAAAAATACATGTAAAAATAACGTTTACCATGTAAAAACGCTTGTGAGAAAACAGGTGAAAAAACAGGTGAGATCGCACCTCTCACCTAAACATTATTTTTGTCTGATTTACGCTCATTACGAAGAAGTTTCGACAAAACATTACGAAGAAGTTTTGACAAAACATTTACGAAGAAGTCTTGACAAAACATTTACGCTCATTACGATGAAGAAGTCTTGACAAAGCATGTACGAAGAAGTCATGACAAAACATTTACGAAGAAGTCATGAAAATTCACGAGGGTAGAAAACGTGTTAGATCTAACCTCTCTAAAATATATTTTTGCTGAATTCCGTATGAAAACAGTGAAGAACAGCGAGTACGTTAAAAAACGTAGTCGCCAAAACTCTATGAAAATCATGAAGCACAGCGAGACCGACTTCCTTCGGGGTCGCCAAAACTCTATGAAAATCATGAATTTCCTTAAGATAGAAAAAATAAAGTTAGTTTTATTTTTATTTATTTTTTTTTATTTGTATGTAAGGACAGATATGTCAACAACAGAGAACACAACAACTGCTATCGTTCATGAAGCCATAAATGAAGAATACGAGTACATACAGTATAACAAACAGTTACGTCTCATTCGTTCGGTCAAAGACGATATGTACCAAATGCAAAGTATTTTGAATGCTCTTCGTTCTACAAAGCAAGCACATCATTGGTTTGAAAACCAACAGACAAAAGAACTTTTAGAAGAATTTCCTCATATGTTTGCGACCCGAGGAAAACCGCGGGTCGAGATTCCGTACGAAAATCGTAAAAATTTGGCTCCTGGTTTGAGAGGCTGGTATGTACATAGACTTCTTGTAAATGCTGTTGCAATGTGGGCTTCACCTCGTTACGCTTGTTTATTTTTCATGATGTTAGATGAAATTCATAGACAAGAACGTGAAGAGCTAGAGAACAAGCTTGAAGCAAAAGACAAAAGCATTCAGAAAAGAATACCACGTTCGGTACCAAAAGGAAAGGAAAAGAACTATAAGTATATGATTTATACTGAAGAGATGGAAAATGAAGAAGACAGAGATATGGTTATGTTGCATTTAGTCAGAAGAAACAACAAAAGCTTTTACGACCTTGCTAAGATTTACAAATCTGACAGAAATTGGTTTCTATCGCGAAAACTTACGATTTCAATGACACCGAATGAAGATGTGAAACAAATAGTTCAAGATACGTTACCTCAAACACACTATGATATTAAAGGTTGTACATACTTACATTCAAAGAAGATTTGTCATTGTTAAAGGAAAAAATAACAGAGTATTTTGACAACTTCAAACAAGCAGAGTAAATGAACTCTTTATTTTTCAAGCTTGACTTTTTACAATTTGAACTTTGTTCGCGTAGATATGAATTCTGAAAGAAGTATGAGGGTCTTGTATGACTTTATACTTCTCCCATAGTTCATGTCTGTCAAACTTACCTGCCATGGACTCTTTCATAAGTTCCATGAAATCGTCTTCGGACAATCCGGGGAAAAGTATAATGTCAGTAAGTATTCTTTAACATCCTTACTTAAACTCTTTTGCTGTCTGTACACAAATGACAACTGAGATGTTAAAGTGTCTGAGCTTCTTAAGAATTCGACACATATCTTGTTCTCTACTATTCTTTAACAAAGGATGAGAAGCAAAGTCATCTAAGATAAGAAGACATCTATGAGGGTATGTCTTCCAATCGTAAGATTGCAATTTCTTCGAAATGTATTCTATCTCTTTCTGTTTGTTTCTGAAGTGTTCTTCTCTAATCCTCTGCATTTCCTCATTTGGGTCTTTAAACTTAGAATTTATATACTCATTTATAGCATTATACTTCAAACTCTTCTTTGGTACTTTTTTATCCAATCTAACAACTCAGTATCCTTTATACATACTACTTAGACTTCTTTATAATATCTTTGAACGAATTGACGGTTTGGTCAAATTGACCAGAAGTACTAACAAATAACAACTAACTCATAGAATGGGTTCTTCTCATCTAGTTCTTGTTGCTTGCAGCCCATTTTAAGATAAGTGAAAGTCTTACCCGACCCAGGTGGTGCAATTAGACCTGTTATACCATTCTGAGCAAATAAGAACTTGTCATGTATAGGCTTTATCTGAGCATTTTCTAACTTCCTCTTGTTCTTGTTTAAAACATTCTCAAATTTCTTGTCAATGTCAGCAAACTTTTTTTCTAACATATTTTTAGAAAAATTAAAATTTTTATCTTTTAGAAAATGTCTAGCGATTTCGCTATCTATATTCGAGACAAGCTTTTCGACAGCAAAACATCTGTCGACCATAAAATCTTACATAGTGTAACAAGAAAGGTGAATTTGTTCTAAAGTTCTGTTTCTGGGAATATGACAAGAACCATAAAACATTAAGCAGAGCAGTCTTAAAATTTGTCAATGACAGACTTGTTGACAGAGATGACACCGATTGGAAAGATGAAGTCCAACAAAAGTTCTTAGAATGCAAAGAAGACACATGCGCTGTTCTTGAAGATGAAATAGAAAACAGAATAGAAGAGCTATTAAAGGACAAAGAACTTTTACATAAATATGGTTCGGAGAAATTTGACATAACTCCACCAGAAAAGAAGAAGAAAGAAAAGAAAGAAAAGAAAGTAGAAGAAGAGAAGAAAGAACCTGAACCAGTTCCAGAGAAAAAGAAATTTGACATGTAAAAAATAAACTTTTATTTTTAGAACATTTCTGGGTCAATGTCAATGTTCTCTTCCTCTTTAGGAGCAAACACTGGCTTAGACTCTAAAATCTTTTTACCCAATTTACCTTGAACTTCAACTATCTTAGACTCATAATATTCATAGTCGTCTGCTTTCTTTGGTTCATAAGGTATAACAAGTTTGTATGCTTTGCCTTCTTTAAGGTTTGAGAACCTTCTGTCAAAACTTTCTTTGACTGCTAACAAACCTTCTATCTCTAAGTCTTCAAATTTCGCACCATTTTTAGTCACAATAGCAAACTTAACTGGTTCGATGTTCCAAACTTTGCTGAATGAAGACTTTTCAAAATGGTAGAAGTAAACATTCAAATATGTGAATGGGTCTAGTTCTTCTTTAAGTCCTGACATGTACTTGTTTACTGAAATATATTTCGTCATCTTTTCTATCGGATAAAAAAATATTTTTTTTTAAATTTACTCATAAAAAATTTTCTTTGTATATACACCATTCTGAACATCTAAAAGACTTTTGACATTTGCCAAGAATGTTCGTTTAGACGCTGTCATATAACCATATTCTTGACAATATTGTTTATACGAATCGTACAATGACCTTTCATCTAAACACTCAAAGTCAGTTTCATCTATGAACAGTTCATATACACTCTTGTTTGCTTCTAACAATGTTTGTCTCTCTTCGGTATGTGGAATTTGTCTTGGATTGAACTTTGAAATATCTAATGTCATAAAATATGAGAACAAGTGGTTGTAAAAGTCAGATGTCAAAGTTTCTGCTAAGTCGTCAAAATATTCTGTATCTTGCATATGAGAATCTGACGTTCTGACAACTACATATCTTCTGTCAGAACTTTCTAACTTCATCGGAACAGCATTGTTTGAAACCATAATGAAGTTTGCAACATTTTCACAAACTCTTTGGTCTTTATACTTTCTTTCAACAACTCCAACTTTGTCTGTTATAAGACCTTCAAAGCATCTGAGTTCAAAAACTTTTGTTGTATCTATACTTTGAAGTTCATTGCAAACTATAAGTTTCATATTCTCTATTGAGGAGTTAAATTTACCGCAGATGTTTTCTAAGTTTGTCATATTCGGGTTCGAATAGCCCTCTAACAGTTTGCACAAATATCTGTAAAGAATGTGTTCTTACCAGTTCCTTGTTTTCCAATTATAATGAGAGCAGTTTCATTTTAGCACTTGGATGTTGTAAGATGTTTTGCAAACCAACATAAGATATACTCATAGACTCTTTCGTTTCCATTGCATATAATTTCTTTGACATGGTCTAACCAAGCTTCTATAATATTTTCTTTCCATTCTACTTGTTCATATTTATATCCAGTGAAGATAGAATAGAAGTTTGGAGAAGGTGTATAGAATTTAATACCTCGAACTGAAAAATCTTCTAACTTTGACAATAAGATATCCCAAGCATCTAACATCTTCATGCCAACTTGTACGACTTTTATTTTCTTAAGTTTCTGTCTACATTCTTGTTCTGAAACTATTGTTGCTCTTGGTTTGTTAAAGACAACATCCCATTCTTTCATGACATAACATTCTGGGGCAGAGTCGACATAAATGACTAAACGTTTCAAATTCTCGACTGCTTTGTTATAGTCTCGAAATGGACACATATTTCTGAATGCTTGGAAGTCATAAAAATCTGAAACATCTATTCTGTACATTTTTATAAAAATAAAAAAAATATTTTTTTTTATTCTTGACTTTGTTGTTGCATTTGTTGCATTTGTTGTTCTTGAGCTATTTGTTGTTGAAGTGTTCTGTAATACAATACTTTCACCAGTTGCATCTTCCAATTCGAAACTTTCTGCCGTCATTGACAAATACATAGGACATAAAAGTTTTACAGGAACAAAGTTTGCGTCAACTAATGTCAACGTTATACTTGCCAATGTGTTTGAGTTCACTAAGGTTGAAAATTCTGCATTCGAATGAACAATAGGCAAACCAGCAGAGAAAGTATTGTTTATACGCATAAGTATCTTTTGGTCATAGTAGTTTCTGTCGACATTCGAATAGCACTTTGAACCTAAGTTTGAAACAATATATAAAATAGGTGTGCTTAAAGTCAATGGAATAGACATTCCTTGTATGACACCTTTTCCTGTTATAGGAAACTGTTGGTAGTAAAAACCAGAAATAAGTTTTGTATTATAGCTCATATTGTTTATAGTAAACTCAGTCGACATCCAAACATAACGAAACCTGCTCTAGTTGCAGCACATGTTACAACCGTACTTAAAGTATTAAATAAGTCAACAAAACCTGTTGGTGGTATATCTGAGTAAGTATCTTCAAAGGAGTATTTTTTACCATTCACAACAATAAAGTCTTCTGGTGTCAAAAGAGCAAAACAGGCTTTAGTCGTCATTGTGTTTAAGGTAGTTTACAATATGTCCTTGAGGACTTTGTAAGTTTGTTGTTATAGAATTATATGACTCAGGGTTTTTAGTCGTAATAGTATAACCATTATATCTTCTGCCATTTATATATATTTAAAAGTTTTTCTGAAAGTGGAGAAGAACTTCATCTAAACTTTCACATGGCGTTTCTTGAAGTTCTCTGTCTAAGAAGTTCAAATATTTTGTAAAGACATAGAACTTTCCTTTGTCTATCACGAACAAACAAAACAGGGTCTTTCAAATCGTTCAAAAGTGTGTAAAGTCCTTTACATGAAATAAAGTCTATATTATTTTTTCTTCAAACATCTTTCAAGAAGTTTTGACATTTTTACTTAGCAAATAAATTTAATGAAATGTTGTGGTCGTCAAATATTTTTATGACGTCTGGGAAACTATACTTTAAGTTCAACGTTTCACCTCCTTTCATAACGTATATCTTGTCAATGACATTATATGAAACACCACAGCAAACTAATGTCGGGTTCTATTTCTTTGATGTTTATATCGTCTGCCTCTGTCAAAAGTTTCAATAGTTCTTTCAAAACTTCATGAGGTGCAATGACATATGAGTTCACTTTTACAGGGTTGTGTTCGACCAAGTTTAACATTATACTTAAAGCTTGACAAATCTTCTCCTGAGTTTGAAGTTTGTCTTTCAGTTGTTGGTAGTCGTTTCGAATATCTGCAACAGAACTTAAGTCTCTGCTAACTTCAGGATATGTTGGTTCTTTTACAGGAACAATTGTTATACCATCTTTGTCTTCGTATGGTTTCCCCACTTCAATCTCTGTCTTTGACATTGACAACAACACTTTGACTGTTTGTTTGAGTTGGTGAATTTAACTTCACATCTGCCACCGCCATTAAACCTTTTGAAACACTTATGCTTCTATTTTTCGGAAATGACATTTTACTTAGAATAAAAAGATGGACGTATTCGAGTATCTCTTCGAATTGAAGCAGAACAAAGTTTACACACACAACAATACAAATACATTGACAGAATAGTTCTTTACACAAACAATGGAAAATGTTATAGAATAGCAATATTTGCTGAACCAAAATATTTCCATAAAGCAAAGAAAGTTGGTATAACTGAAATGGTGAAAGTTCTTGACGTTGACAAAAATATAACAACAAAACTTACAGATATTTCTAAAGGTAAGTTTATCTTACAATATTATGTCAAAACTGGCGTACTGTCAATATTTGACGGAGAGAAGTCAGTTCAAGAACAACTTACTGACCTGCTGCCAAAATCTGCTCGATGGAAGCTGTCGTTATGCCAATCTGAGGAGCCCCAGCAGGTTTCATCGAACGAATCTTCAAAAGAGCATCTTCCGTGAAAAGTGCTATTGGTTTTGTAAACTTCTTTGCTCTCAGTTCATCTGGACCGTCTCTGTCACCAGTATATTGTATTTGTACAGTACCAACAGTTGAAATACCACCCATAAAGTCTTCTGAGTCAGCAAATGGAATGCCAAGCCAAAAGTTTGAACGGTCTCCATTTGTATATTGAGTTTTTTGACCTCCTGTATGAGTCCATACTTTCACATATGGCATAATAGAACTTTGCATTTCAGGGTTAATGGTTGTTGTGAAGTTGTTGTTAAAGTTCATAGCATCTAATGTCAAGTTGTATGACCTCATATCCTCAACTGTAGAATATTCTTCTCTTGGATAATATTTGCCATCTATGTTTATATGATATTTAATACCAGGGTTGTAGAAACAAGAATAGTCATTTATAGTTCGTCTGAACAGTACAAACATAGTATCTGCATGTTTCATTGCAGTTGTTAAAGCAATATCTGTTCTTGCACCTGGGTCAGCACTTTGGTTTCCAACTTCACCTGCAAAGTCTTTGACAGATATTTGGTGTATAGGGAACATAAGTGGAACTGCAATATATTTGGCAGCTAAAGCATTTGAAATATCTGGGTCCAACATATAGACTGCAAGTCTGCTTTCTATTCTCTTGCATTCAAACTTTTCGCATGTAAACTTAACTGGGTCCCAAGCAGTTCCAGCAGCATTGAAATAATAGTTTACTTCATTGTTGAAGTTTGAGAAACCAAAGTCTAAGTCAACTTTGTCTTTGCAAAAGTCGGCGAATGACGTTTTATTTGTTCCCATTACGTCTGTAAGAGTGAATGGGTCTTGTGTTGGTGCAATGACTAAGTTATTTTTGCTTGGAGTAAGTTCGATAGAAATTTTTCCTGCCCAGTTTGGCAAGTATCTTAAAAACCTGAAGATGAGGAAAGATGACAAAGGAACTCTAAGTTTCAGTTTTACTTTAGTGGCAGCAGTTCCATCTGAACCAGAAAGGTTAAACATAAACTCCTGGAACGTTAGGGTCAAGTCTTATTATTTTCTCAATATTTGCATACTGGTCTGTTTGTTCTCTAGCTTGTGGTTGTACTGAGTTTCTCAAAGCGAACCATTCATAGTTTGCCCATGTTACTGTTTGAACTAAGTCAGAGTTAGAATATATCTTATATCCCATGAAAACTTCTGGAGCATATTGGTATCCGACATAGAAAATTCCATTGCAACCTTTCTTGTCAGACAACTTGGCAGAAGGTTTTATTTCAATGTCTTGTTCCACGTATAAGAATGAGTTGTCAATAGAAATAATATGAAACCTGTCGCAAGCAATATCTACTGTTGTTGAAGAACCTTCTCCAAACTCACCTACGTTTCCATAAGAAACAGCAGTTGTATATTCGTAAGTTCCAGGAACTATTTCTGACCTTCTAATGGCATTGTCGCATTCGTTATACCATTCGGAAACATTTCCGTTCATGGCATCCAAAACTGTTGGCGTTATATTCTGAGCGGCGTACATTTCATATGGGTAAAAATATAGAATAGTTGGATTTATTTGTCATAATTGTTTCGTACCAAGCTTTACTTTCTTCCTGACTGAGTTTTTAACTCTTCTTTTTCCTTCATTGCCACTACTTTCACTAGATGAAGTTACTTCTTCACTACTTTCACTTTGTTCTACTCTTCTTCTTTTGTCGCTTTTAGTAACTTGCCCTCTGCTTCAAGTTGTTGCATCTTTGCCTCATGTTCACACTAGTATGTTGTAAATTTCCCATGTCCTTTTTGCCTTTGGGCTCTGGTCGCCCATCTCAGGTAACCTATATCCTAGAAAGATTTTGTCATAGTTTGTATTTGAGTCTTCGCGTATTGTTTGCATGACTCTTTCCTGAGTTTCCGGTTCAAGCTCTTCAAACAGAGCTTGTCCATATGGAATAAGCTCGTTTCCAAATATATGTTTTTGTAGCCATTCTGGTTTTCTTTCCATGTTACCAATAATATCTTTTGTGAATGGGAAAGCTTTTACCCAATGTTTCAGTCTTGCGTCATTTATTTCTGTAGTTGGTTTTATTTTGCAAGGAACATGTTTTTCAATACTAACATTTCATTTGGTACTGTCCATTTGAGTTTCTTAAATATTCATCCCTTCTCGGTTCATTGTCTGCAAAGTAAGTTTTTATGACATTTTGTAAACTTTCGTTTGCAAGGTCATGTACAATAGGTTCTCTTCCTTCTCTCTCCCTAACTTTCTTTCTAAACTCTTCACCAAATATACCATCTTTATGGTTCTGTGTAGTTCTTTGAGATAAATGTTCTAGAACGTCAGGTGTTATATTTCCATCAGCCATGTTCATTTCATACTGGTCCAAAATATCTGCATGTTTCATATCTTTCAATGGCATTAAAGCCGCGCTGAAAATACCTGCTATATCTGGTTCACCATTCACTTCCATTGCGTCTACAACTTCTTGGAATTGTGGTTGTAAGTTTATGAACCACCTATCCGGATTAGCTTTATGACCCCATCTCATTGTAGTTCCATAGTCTGCAGAAACAAAAGTAGGTTTGTTTCCATATTGGTTAGGTTCTGAATGAACTTTAAACAATGTTTCATTTCTATATGTTTTGGTGAAATTTAACCTTTTATTTTCACCGAGTTCAGCCAAAGATTGAACGTTATATGGTCGTAAGTAAAAAGGATTGTTGTATTTGCGTACACTTTCTTTCAGTTCTTCCATTCTATGCTGAATATTTTCATCTGATGTTGGAGTCTTTTGTATGTCGGCGAACATTTTTCGATATTCTTCTACTATGTCAGCCGAATTTTTCTTAGACTCTTGGAAAGATTCCATATTCTCCGCATACTCTTGTTGAGGGTCAAGATTTTTCGGCTGTTCCAAATCTTCATCTAGTTCTGTGAAGTTAGTTTCCAAAGGAGGGACTTGTTTGTTTCCTTCAGGCTCTTCTAGCTGTTGTTGCTGAACTATTTCTTCCATGTCTGGTTGTATCTGAACTTCTTCCTGTGGAGTTTCTTGTACCTCATCTGCTGGCATTTCATATATTCCGAGACCGTTTTTAACAAGTTCCCTATTTAAGTCATCCGCATTCATAACCCTTTCTTCTTTCGTTCCGTCTCTATTTTTTACGCGTTTCATGAAGATAGTTGAATTATCATTTATCTCTGACACCAAATATCTCGGAGTAAATTCATTCATGTCATTTGGATGATATGCTATTAAATCATATCCCTTAGCGAGCTTGTATTTTCCAGGTTTGAAATTATATCCCATTTGGTGCTGAACCATAAAGCTAAATAGGTTCGGGTCAGTATTTCCTTCCTTGAACTTTCTAATAGCTTCTTTATATCTGTCACTAAAGTCAAGAGTATCTGGGTAACCATAATTTTCCTTAAGCATTTTTAAGAATTCTTGGTTTCCTTGTTCTCTACTTCTTTTATGTCCTTGCTCTGTTTGTGGTTGTTGCTGTGCAGGGTTTTGAACTGTTGGTTGCTGTGCAGTGTTTTGAACTGTTGGTTGTGGTGCAGTGTTTTGAACTGTTGGTTGTGGTGCAGTGTTTTGAACTGTTGGTTGTTGTGTTGGTTTTGGTGCATGCCTGTGTCTGTGTCCATGTGACGATGTAAATGTTTTAGGTAGTCCTGGTGCAGGTGCTTCTCTTGGAGGGTTTGGTGGTATATAAGTTCCACTAGCTAGTATATAAGTTCCACCAGCTGGTATATAAGTTCCACCAGCTGGCACATATGTTCCATCTGCAGCATAATGTCCTACCTGACTTTTCGTTTTTAGAAAGCATTTACTAGGTCTGTTTTGGTCTGTTGTAACTCTTTTTCTTGACTTTCCACAACAGTTGCTCTAACGGCGTCATAGGCACTTTGAACTGCCTGTCTCGTTGCTGCATCTGTTATTTTCGTCATATTTTGTGCTACTTCTCTTAACTCGTTGTCGAAACCTTCAGACTTCAGTTCTTTCCAGATGAGAAGTCGTTCACTAGTTTCACCTTACTATGAAGAGCTTCGAAGGCGTTCTTAAAGTCAGCATTCATTAAAGCTTCATTTGAACTGTCTTCATCCGCTTGTATTTTTGTCCTTATTGACCCTATAAGTTGGGCTGCTTTAGCGTTGGCTTGGGCATCTAACCAGTCATTATTAGCTTTTATATATTCTGCGCTTTTCATTGCCTTTTGCATGGCTGCGTCGTTATTTTTACTTTCTTGTGCTAAGTTTTCATACTGTACGGTTTGGTTTTGCAACTGTAAAAGTTTTTCTGCCTTTACATTTGCTTCAACTTCTTTTTATACTCATCGCTATCCATATATGTCTTCAGGGCTTTTTGTTTTATTTCTTCATCTTTCAGTACTTTATATTGAGTAGTATGGTTTTTCAAATTTATAACATCTTGTTCCATTTTTGCTACTTCTGCTGCTTTTTCTGACACTTTTTTCGCATATTCCTCTGTACTTAGTTCTTTCAGTTGTTCTTCTTTCTTCTTTTTCTCTACGTTTAACTCATTGAGTTTCTTTGTGTGTCTGTCATATTCTAGTTTCTTTTCGTTTTCACTTATTTGTTTCTGTATGTCTATGTTTGACTTTTTGACATCTGTTATTTGATTTTTGAGTGAACTCAAATTCATTTGACTTTGAGGGTTATAAGCTGTTCCGTCTGCAGCTCCACCATAGCCTGCCATTTTCGCTAAAAGTGCCGCTCTTAAACCTCCACTTTGTGCACCAATAACTCGGTTTAAAAGCATAGGGTTGCTTGACATTTGTTGCAACATAGTGGGGTCATTCATAATTTGTTGTTGCAACTGTTGTTGTGGTGTCAGTTTTACTATTGGATGTTTCAATGCTCCCTTCCTCTTACGTATATTCTTACGTAGCTTACGTGGCATTTTAAGTGAAGTAAAAAACGGTTTTTGACAGATGTTTATATGACACTATTTGTTCAGCACAAAAAACTACTCGGTCAAAGTGTTGTCAGTTTTGTAAAATAACCGTCCTATCTTGTTTTAAAAGGGAGAAAAGGCTTCTCAAAGTATACTTCCGTGGAACGCCTGTAACTTTTCCTGTAGCGACGATAGACCCTTACTTGTCCGGACAAAGTTATACTAAACATCTTCAGGGCTAGAGGGCACGAAGTGCCTGGAAGCCCCACTACCTTTTTTTTTTTTAAAGATCTATTTAAATTAGACAAAATACGATATTTTTATTTGAATGGGGTAATTCAATTTTTTCTGAAAAACCGCGCGTTCCAAAAAATTTTTCAACAATACTGTAAAGAATTTTAAAAAAATAGAGATAAACGATCTGTTACTTAACCATATTAAATTTCAAATCATGTTTCTATTCGCCAAGTTGAAAAGACACGTTCAGATTATCAAGTTTTTTTCCTTTAACTGTGATTCAACACGTATCATAAATCAACACCTATTGGTATCTATAAAGCAGTGCGCAATATAATCGAAATCAAGCTTTTGCGTATTTCATTATTTTATATTTCGTCTTTTTACGCGTCTCTCCGCCACTTTGCTATGATACTTCACAACTACGATTTTACATTATTGCCGACTTCTTTCTCCATATAGGAATCACTCAAAAATTCACCCATTGAATAAGTAATCTTTACGATAAGCTCTCAATTCAGAAAAAATGGAAATACAGTGATTTCATCACGGGGATACTATTTACAAATGATTTTATCCTTTTAGTAAAATTAACCTCGACCACGTAAGCTCAAAAATTAACCTCGTTATTGAGTTGTAACCTATTCAATTATCTAAAATTTTTTCAATTCAAAAATTAACTTGAATGTCTGAGAGACGTGGCTCTCGCGAGTATTCCAGAAGCGGCTCCGAGAGATCAAGTACATGCGTTGTACAAACCAAATTCAGCAAAGAAGATAACAAGAAGGGACGTGGAAAAGTTTATGCCTTACTTTTATCAGATCCCTATGTGATTGCCGGCTTCTTACCCACACTTATCAGTGGTGCATTCCCAATCATTACATTCTATTTCCTTGGTAACATCATTACATTAATGGGCGAGTACACAATGGGAAAAAGAGATGATCCAATTAAAGAAATTGTCAAGTAATTAGGATATTTCAATATTGTCATTGCCGTTGTTTCCATTCTTCGTGCTATTTCTTCATTATTCTGGATCCGTGTTGGCTCAAGAATTTCAACTCGTATTCGTTCTGAAGTTTTCAGACATATCATGACCTATGATGTCAAATTCTTCGATACACATCCAATTGGTGCTCTTCTTACTGTTCTTGGTGAAGATACTTCAGTTATTCAAGAATGTTTCGGAACAACGAAGTGTTTACAAGTCCAATTGTTCGGCCAGTTCTTTATTGGCCTTATTTGGGTTTTGGCCCTTTCCTGGAGATTAGGTTTGATTATGTTGGCTCTTGTTCCTGTTGTCATCATTATCATGCTTGTCTTCCATCCATTCATCCACAAGAACGCCATCATGCGTTTCAAGAACTTCTCAAACGCTATTACAATCGCAGAAGAAACAATTGCGGCCATTAGAACAATCCGTGGCTTCAACCGTGAAGAAGAGGACACAAGACGTTTCGTTGAGAAGAATGAAGAAGCTGCTCACTTCGAACGTAACATTGTTTATCTTATTGGTACAATGTTCTTTGTTGTTTTCATTCTCGTTTGGGCTGTTGTTCTTGGCAACCTTTACTACGCATCCAAACTCGTTGGAACAAAGGAAAACGGCAGAAACTTCGATCCAGGTATGATGTTCTCTGTTTTTGGTATGACAATGATGGGTTGCATGGGTCTTGTCTTCTTCGAGAACTCAATCCAAGCAGAACAACGTGCTGTCACCGCTGCAAATCGTGTTGTCCAGTTATTAGACTACCAATCCGACATCAATTTCGATGGTGGAGAGAAATACGATGATTTCAAGGGCCACATCAAGTTCCAGAATGTTTCATTCTGCTATCCAACACGTAAAGTCATGGCATTGAACAATGTCACCTTTGAAATCAAGCCAAAAGAACAAATTGCGTTAGTTGGCCACTCAGGATCCGGTAAATCCACATATGTACAACTTATTGAGCGTTACTACGATGTTACAGAGGGAATCATTACAATTGATGGCCACAACATCAAAGATCTCGATCCAAGATGGTTACACAGGAAGATTGCCTTGGTTTCACAAGAGCCAACATTGTTCCAAGCTTCAGTTAAAGAGAATGTCTGCTATGGAGTTACAGATCCAAAGACAGATGATGAAGTTTGGGACGCATTGGAAATAGCAAATGCAAAGAAGTTTGTTACAAAGTTTGATAACAAACTGGGTCAAATGGTTGGAGATAGAGGAAGTACAGTTTCTGGTGGACAGAAGCAGAGAATTGCCATTGCAAGAGCTGTCATTAAAGATCCAACAATTTTAGTTTGCGATGAAGCAACATCAGCCTTGGATGCAGAATCAGAAAAGAAAGTTCAAGCAGCTCTTGATAAGATCCTTGAAACAAGAACAGGTGTTATTGTTGCTCACAGATTGTCAACAATTAGAAATGCTACAAGAATTTACGTTTTTGATGCAGGACAAATTGTTGAAGAAGGAAGACACGATGACTTGGTTCAGAAGAAGGGACACTACTGGAATTTGGTAAAGAGACAGTTGAAGAAGAGCGAAGATGAAGAAAATAAGAATAAGATCGAATTACCAAAGGTTGACAATGAAGAAATAAAGGATGAAAAACCTAAAGTTGAAGAGAAACCAAAAGTTGAAGAAAAACCTGAGGAACCAAAGAAAGAAGAAGAAAAGAAGAAAGATAAGAAGAAGAAAGAAGAAGAAAGAAGAAAAGGAAGAAGAGTTAGAGGAATTATCTGGTTCTTATTCTTATTCATATTCTAAGCCTTCATATTCTTATTCCAAACCATCTTATTCATATTACTCTGAATCAAAGAAATAAGAACATTCTTTTTTTAGAACATAGAATAGAATAAAATATAATACTTTACTTTCTTTTTATAAATTTTATAAGTTTTTATATCGAAATTGTATGTAACTATCAACGCCATGTGGATCATTGCGCATCTTCTTTCAAATATCGGTCTATCACAGACATTCTCACCGCAAGAGATCAATGTCGATGATCTCATGCTCAACCTTCACGATCCAGTTTTCTACTCTGAAGATAAAACAGAATCCGTTGAAGCATTAATCTGCATCTGCACAGTTTGCTTGCATCTATATGGATACTTCGAACCAGCTGCAATGGCATTTATCAATGAACTCATTCCTACATTCGACCAACTACAAGAAATCAATGAAAACCCATTCAGAGCATTTGCAATCGGTTACATTTGCATTCTCACTGTTCGCAATACAGGATATACAACAAATCATTAGAATTTCTAAACATGTATTTTTTATATATAAAACAAAATATAAATAAAATTAATGTTTCTTATTAAAGAATGATTTAACGGAATTCATTGCATCGTTCCAATATTGTATATCTTGGTAATTTCTTTGGATCCATCCAGGAAGAAGCTGTTTGTGGTCATTGTATCTTTCATCGAATAAAATTGCAACAGCATAATCTTTGATGTTTCTAAATGATCTTCCAATTGATTGATTGACGATTCTCATGCAAGTATTCTCAACAAACTGTCTTCCTCCACACGAGGAAATTCCATCTTTCTGCATTTGGTCGAAGAACTTCATTCTCTCGCTAATTTGCATGTCATTCATGTTTGAAAACGGCATTCCAACACAAACAACACATCGACAATAATCATTTGCAAAGTTAATTCCTTCACTCAGTTTTCCATTCATTACTGCGAAAAGAACAGCACCTGTGAAGTCTCCTCTTTGTTTATCAATGTGGCTCTTGAATGTTCTCATGAGTTTATCCAAATCATTTGGATTTTGTGTTTCTTTTAATATGAATTTGTGGTTTTCTATTTTCTCTTTATATGATTTTGTTTCGATGTATTTGTAAGCTTTGTTTAATATATCAAAGCTTGTGAAGAAATATATGATACCTCCTGGAACAACACAACTTAACTCTAAGCAGCTTTGGCCAATTTCGTCAAACAATCTCTCGTTTTGACGTGTTTCATAAGTAAATCCGAGTTTTTCTTTGTTTGGACCTGTATGAAGACAAAAAGTCAACGCGTTTTCGGCAAGAATAACATGCCCGTTCACATGTGTAAAGATTCTATCCTCTGGTATCGAGTTTTGGTCAATTAACTGTGCAGTTAAGTCAGAAAATGGCTGCAAAGTTCCTCCGACCAAACAAACAGATTTTGCAGTTTTTGCAACTTGTGCGAAAACTAAAGAAGGATTCAGAAGCATGTAAGAAACAGAGTTCTCTGTGACAATGACTCTTCCGTATTTATCTGGGTTTCCCATTGCTTCAACGAACTGTAAAAGCTTTCTGAAGGCTGTTGTCGATGACAATCTTTCTTTTTCTTCTTTTTTGCCGCAAATTCTGTAAACTAAGGATTTTTCATGCACGAAATCAAGCAAAATGAAGGGATTGATGTTCCTCAGGCCTGATGATTCTTGAAAATCATTCATTTCCATTACTTTTGGCAATTGTCCTTTAGCAACTTTATTCATTACAGAAATAATGCCAGTTGCAATTCTATTAAGTGTAGACATGTTCATCATAATCTCTTTTTTAAGTTGGTTCTGAGGAGTTTCTTCAACTGGCTTCTTATCGTCTTCTAATTTTGATGGATCTTCTGAAATTGGTCCTTTTACTTTAGTAAGCTTCATTTGGAACTCTTTGAGGCCATTGGTAACTCCTGTGATATCTTCTGCTTTGGTTAGAGAGATAGAATACATAGAATTAAGTGCATCAACTAAATTGTGGCCTTCATCAATGACAATGTATGCATTCGATATGTCTATCTTCAGGGATTCAAGAGTTTGCTGCTGGAATAGAGTTTGGTATGGCATTAATATGACATCACTGAATCTAATTGTTGCTCTTGAAGCAAAGTAGGGACAGAAGATACCAGCGCGGCCAAATGACATCAGATCTTCTATATCATGTGGCTCGGTTGATATTTTCTTGAGAATATCTGCTTTCCTGTCTTTAAAATTCTTATAATAATCACACGATTTTTTGCAAACGTTATTTAGCTCAGAACCTGAATAATTTGCATATACATCATTGATACATAAGAATCTTCTGGAAGCAAGAGAGATGCAGCGCGTAGTTCTTCGCGAATCTTTATATCTGAGTAAACTTGGACGCTTTAATTCATTAACAAGTTCTTTAATTTGACTATGAGTCCTTGTACAAACTATTAATTTGCTTCTTTTAGGCTTGTTTGCATAAAGAATATCTGCAATATCATCATTATCTGTTCCATATGCATAAGAATCAGCAATATCTTTGTTTTTTTCTTGTATAAATGCTAATGAGGATGTTAGAACAGACATTGATTTACCTGTTCCTGTGGGACTTTCAAAAAATCCGATTTTATTCTCTTGAAATGCTTTGATCATGTCTGTTGCAAACTCTGTTTGAATGCTATATGGTTTAGTAGCTCCAAATTTAAGCTTAGCATTTTGAATCAGATCAGACAAAGACATTTTTAATGGAAAAATGCCTATGTATCCATGCATAATGCTTCAAAAACAAATGCTAAAATACATAGAAACTAAATGATATATCATCACTATATAATAGGCAAAATCGCAACCGAATTTTTAAATCTCGATCGCAAAGAAAAATTTCGATTTTTTATAAAATCGCGAACTTCTGAAAAATTGCGAACAGAAAAAAATCGCGATTGTTTTTGAAATCGCGTTTTATTAGAAGTACGCGATTTTATAAAAAATCGAAATTAGATTAAAATATAGCGTCTAAAACCAAATTGCGAACAAGTTATGTATTGATTAAGAAAAATATATTTAAGATGAAGAATTGCTTGCTATGATGTACTGATTCATGATCAGTACATCATAGCAAGCAATTCTTTACATGAAGTTCGAAAACTTGGGTGCAATCAGATCTGATTGCACCCAAGTTTTCGAACTTTGTATAGGGAATTAAAGGGTGAGAGATATATAGTCTATCTATATATCTCTCACCCTTTAATTCCACCTCTGTAAGCGATAAAATTTTATCAAATATTTTATACTACGAGAAATTATGGCTTTGTTTCATAGACGTATTGAATTTACCGATTGTGTTAAAATGAGATCGCTTAATCTTTAAATTTATTAAGTTAATCAAATTTTTGATTAAACGCAACGATGTTTTGTGAAATCAAAACGATAAATATTCAATGCAAACGCACCTGAGCTATGTTCCTTTATTGCAGCCATTAAACATTTGTCTGGCTCACAATTTGAGAGCACTTCACCTAAATAATGCTATAATGAAAATTGAATTAATAAAAATCGTTTCTTCAAATAATCTTCACAAATATATTATCATTATGTGAATTTTTACTTATAAAATTAAATACATATTTAGTTTCTAGTATTTTTTTTTCTATTGTCATTCAAAATATAGCTACAAAACGAAGAACCATAATTTTGATAAACACTAAATGATAATATGATTTATAATATAAATAAAATATTTTCAAGTCCAATAAATCAAAATTGATATTTTAAAAAAAAACTAATTAAGAATTCAGTGATAATTTTATCAAATATTACAAGACAATATGATTTATAAGCAGAATAAAATGTGAATTATATCAATATGACACTTTTAACCTTTTTTAATCCGAAAAATCCAAAATACAATTTATACATATATTTAAGCAATATAATTATATATGTGATGATAGATCTCCATGATCAGAGTTTCGAGTTTTATTGAGTATTCATTGGACATCAAAGTTGAATCAAAGCAGCAAAAGTGAAATTTTCCGAGGAAATTTTGATGTAGCGAATTTTTTGTGTGAGCATTAATAGATCGAAATCACAAGAGAATATAATACCTCGCTACATATACTATTATATTATCATGTGAAATAAGAATGTTGAATCAATATCAACTGAGATATAATAGTATATAAAAAGTATTTTTATCATAGCTAAAAAAGAGATTTTTCACATGACAAAATTCTCAATGGAGAAAAACCATCTATATCCTACATATAACGTATAACGCATTGTTTTATACTTAAACACTTCTCTATGGATATATCTTGCGTAACATATATCTATCAGACTCGCTCATTTATTAAGCTATTAATAAAAATAGTATTCCATGAAAATCGTTTTTCCATTATATTATCCGTGAAGTGCGGTGTAAACTTCACAATTCTCCGCTTCGGACGGAAAGAATTGTGTAGCCACACACACTTGTCATGCATAATTGTGTATTAAGCAAAACGAAAGCATTCACGATACAAATCTGTTAATTATGAATACTTTGATTTGACATTGAATATCTCATATCGAGATTTGAGATATCAAAAGCAAATTTTGATTTTTTATTATACAATTTATATTTGTAGTCTAATTATTATAGATATCATCAAAATATTGTGAAAGCACAATTTTTGGACCAGAAATTTTATAAAATATTCAATAGCTCAATTTTTCGAAAGTATTAGATAGCTATTATATTTGACATTGAATGCAAATATACTGTATGTGATTTTTATGAATATTTGTATTAGATAATTTGCGATCTGAAAAAAAAAATTGAATTTACTAATATTTGTTCTATTTATATAATATACTCGGGCATTATATTATGATTAGAATACAATTGCTAAAATCGAGTCTAATATTTTAGAATATTTTTTTAAGATATTTGGGATTGAGTATTCATACTATGTGATTTTCATAACCAATGAATGTGCCCTACAGTATAAGTAAAAATAAGAATAATTTTTTTCAATTTGATATCTTTTTTTAAAAAAGTGTGATTTTCACAAAAAAAGTGTTATAGTAGTAGGATTATAGTCCATACAATACTATTGTAATCTCTTTTCTCGAATTTAATTTTTCAATTAGCAATTCGAGAAAAAAAATATTACTTAAAGGACGACTTATCACTCCGAAAAAGACCAAAATTAAGGACGTGATTTTTTTGAAAGTTCGCGATTTTTCAAAAAGTCGCAATTTTTTCACGAATCGCGATTTTTTAAAAAAATCGAAATTTATCGTTCAAATCGCGATTTATTAATAAATCGCGAAAAAATTCTGTTCGCGATTTTTAAAAAATCGCGATTTAAGCTAAAAATCACAATTTATCATCAAAATCTAGATTTAAAAATTCGGTTGCGATTTTGCCTAATAAAAGATCACAATGAAAATTAAACTAATTCATTTCATTAAAAGATTCAGAAAACAATGCACACATATTAAAACATAAGTTCAGATATATATCATAGCGGAAAAAACATTACCTGCAGGATTTGTAATTTCGAATTGCTATTATTGATCGTTTTATTTATTGTATCAAACACATTCATTACTTTATATTGATTCACACTAGAGATGATGCAATATAAGATAATCAATTAAGTCGAAATTTTGAAATACTTGAGATTTTGGTTTATCTCATATACAAATCAAATTGACGTTCTGAGGTTAAAAATGCTACCTTTCTGAAATCATTTAATTTTCATTTTTTTGATGAAGACCCAAATTGAGCATCTCAAATTTGGATGGTCTTCAGTATTTTTAGTTATGGGATTAGTCTCATCTGTTCTTCCACTGTTCATTAAAAGCATTTCTTTTCTATCAGTCCTCGATTCTTTTGCTGGCGGAGTTTTCTTAGGCGCTGCTCTTGTGCATTTAATACCAGAAGGTATCGAGAACTTGAATAAATCCGAAATTCCTCTCGGATCACTCCTTTGTTTAGCTGGATTTCTTGTTATGTACCTTATAGAATCATTTGGTTCTCATGGTCATGATCATGGAGCTTCACACAATCACGATCATGATAAGAATGGAAAACATAATGATGAACTCGCAGATGATCACAAAGTAAAGGCAAAATTAATAAATCGCTTATCTCCATCTTCAAAAGCAATATATATTGCATTACTTTTCCATTCATTTGTTGAAGCAATCTCATTAGGCGTTGTTAACGATCTTACAGTCTTGAAGTCGTTGATTTATGCTTTAGCTGGACATTATCCCGCTGAAGTATTTTCACTTGGCTTACAGATTTTCGGAAACAAAATATCTAAGACCAAGTACTTTGCAATGATGTGCTTCTATTCATTTGTTACTCCATTTACAATAATTGCTTCATATTACGTTGGAAAAGCTTGTAATGAAACAGTATCCGGATGTGTTGTTGCGATATCATCAGGAATATTTGCTTTTGTTGCTTTTCATGAATTATCCGAAGCTCTTGAGAAAATCCATGAATCTAATGGAAAGTCGAAGTTTTATCACCTTATTGCCATTTTAATTGGAGCTTTATGGATGGCCGGATTAGCCATTGGCGACCATGAGCATGAACATGGCCATCAACACCATCATGATCTTTAATCAATCATCAAATCCTCTTTAGAATAAAATAGTAGTGTTATTTATATTATACACAGTTAAAATATTTTGATTTTGGAAGTAAATATTATTTCGAATTATAAATCTTTTTAATATTTGGAATAATATAGAAGATTTAGATCACATTTCCATCAAAACTAACATTTTGTTGCAATGAAGACATTTCTTTTTGAGAATTTCCAAAATATGAGAAACATTTAAAAACAAACTATCAATTTTCATTTTTAAACATATGATTTAATGATGAGTAAATATGAACAAAAGTTATACTTTAAGACTTAGATATTAAATTGCTGATATCAATGAGCTCTTAAAACTTCTGCAGTAGCATTACACTGTAGGATGATTGTCAAAAATTATTATCTTTGTAACTGATTTCAATATCCTTAGCAAAGTAGTTCTAATCTATTCTCATTCAAAAGATTTGAAGAAAAAAAAATTGACAAAATCGGATCATTTTCTAATAATTCGCAGTTGATGAAAGTAATAGACTCTCTTATTAATGAGCTAAAAGTTTCAAAGCAAAATACTAGACTGATTGGTGTAATTCACTTTAATTTGACGTTGATAGGGTTAAATAGCATTGTTCCAATAGATTCTGTGATGTGTTGTAGCGAATAAATACTGATATTAGAGCGTAGAGGATTTCATTAGCGGAAATACAAAATTTCTTGCAATTCATGAGTGATAGTTGACATTCATAATACAACAATTGCCTAGAATATCACCATGGAGAAATATGATAATACAAGAACCGAAATCTAAACGATAATTAATTAGGCGATTCTCATTTTTTGCGTCTTTTCAAGATAATTCAATGTTATTGACAATAATATCATCATAATTTAGTTGGCGTAATCTTGACTTTAAAGTCACAAGGACTTATTTAATCACAAAAATCATGTTTACCATAAACATATTATCCATGATAAACTAATCATTTCTTATCATTACCATTTTTCGCTACATAATCTTCATTTTCTTATATTAAATTCATGAAACATTAATTAGATTAGAGATTTATTGATTTTAAGAACAAGAGAATGATTGCTATACTAATAAGAGTCTGCTCTTTCCATTTTTTTTCCCAATAATTTTTTTATCGCTCAAATGGTTCAAATTTTATTTTAAAAATATTTTAAAGGGCGAAGAGATCTTCATATAATTTTGTTATGATGTAAAAAAAAGTCAAATAACGAACAAATTACAGAGCAAACTGAGCCAGCAACAGAAGAAATGGAGGCTTCTCAGCAACAAAATATAGAAGTTGAGGAACCTCCAAATGTAGAATCCAATTCTCCTGAAAAAGAAACAGAAGAGAAAAACAATGAAATTGAAACTACAGTAAAACCTCTCTCTGTTTTACAAACAAATAAAAAGAAGATCATAAAACCAAAACCTAAAAGTGCTTTAGAGGAAGCTTTAGCAGAATTTAATAATCCAACTCCGTTTTTATGGCAACAATCGAAACCAAAGAAAGTTACATCATCATCAACGAATTCACCATCTAAAAAACCTAAATCTCAACCAATTAGACTATTTGATCAATCAATAAAACGCGATACTAGAAAAATTCAAAATAATTCCCATAATCAAGTGAAATTCGTGCTCGGACCATACAAATTTTCTCATAAAGAGAATGTTCAAAAGAAAGTTGCTGTTTTGCAAGATGAAGAAATACAACATACAAAAAGAATTGTTCAAGAACCGAAAGAAGAGCCAAAAGATGAACCACAACAACAAGAAGCAGAACAAATACAGCAACCAGAGCAAAATGAAGACATAAATCCTGAAGAAGAACAAGGATCTGAAACAGATGATGAATCAATGTTTTTAACTCAAGTTTCTCAACAACAAACATACAAAGGAACTACTCCAGTCGCCAAAGATGAAACAAATAAACCTCCTCCAAACAATAATCCTCCACAATCCGATCTAAAATACGATAAAGATTTTGATGTTGATAAAAACATCAGTAGAATACCAAATAGACTTCTCGAAATGGTCAATCAGCCTCATGAAAGTCTTACCTTCCATGCATTATGCGGATCAATGCTTCCAGATACTCCAAATAAAATAATCAGCAGAGTTACGAAAGATCTCAAAGGAATTTTCCAACAAACAATGTCAGCTGGTCTCATAACAGAATCGGCATACGTACAAAACATCATTGATGCTTTGAAAGCCGCTCATTCCGGAAAGAAAAAAGAATCTAATACAATTGAACTCAAAAACCGCCTTGACAAAGCCCAAAATAAACTAAATAACATTAGAAACAAGTTCAAAGCCCAGGAAGAAGAAATCAATGCAGAAAAAGAGAAATCAATGATCCAATTAGATGATGACTTCCAAATTGAAGCGGAATACCTCGATAAAGAGTGGCAAGAAGAGAGGACACAAAACAGATTCAATAAACCATCAGCGCATTTGATAAACCTCCGAAATGAAGCAAAAGTCAACTTAAAAGCTCACAGATTCGAAGAAGCAGCATTGATTGCACAAGAAGTGGCCAAACTAGAGGAACAAGAGGCAGGAGAAGCAGGACAGAGAATGGCACAAGCCTACAATAACGCTGCAAATAAATTAAGGGCAAAATACGAAAACGAATTCAAAGTGATGGATGACACTTTTGAAATGAAAAAACGAAAAATTGCTGTGGACAGGGAAAGGGCTGAACGGCCTCTCTTGAGCATAATGGAGAAGCTAAATGCACAGATTAAGCAATCAGAACAGGAAAGCATTGAAGAACAGAAAAGAATCGAAAAAGAATCAAATGCGTTTAATGCGCTCTTAAATAAGAAAATTCCTCAGTGCAAACCTATTAAAATCGAAGGTAAACTTAAGTTACCACCTCTCCAATCATTTAATAGATCAAGAGCTAAATCTGCAGCATCAACCGAATAATTTTTGTAATTTTATTTTATTTTTTGTAAATGTTATATGTTTTTTATGAATTTACACATATTTACTTCATATCACACTTATAAAAATACAATTACCAAAAGATTAATAACGATATTTGAAATATTTTTATTTATTTCATTGATCATTATTATAATTCAATGAATATTTAACTTGTTTTCACAGTTTTTAGACAAACTCTAGATCCATGGAGTTGAACTACTTATATTTTAAATTTCGATTTTGATATTTCTTATTTATGAGTAAATAATATCTATTAAATATAAGATAAATTAAAGAAAAAACATTAAAACATATTTATATATCTATATAAAGGATAAAAGAAAAAAACTAAAATTACAATTGATTAACTATTTCTGGATCAAGAATCAAATCATTGACGATATCCATATTACCATGGAATCTTTCCCATACAGTGTATTTCAAGTTATTTCTTGCCAATGCCATCTTTTCGACCATAAGAGAGCAGCAATTTCTAACTTGATTTACATCTGTAATGTGGGAGTAGTTTAGGAGTCTCGGTGTTGGGCAAAATTCATTCATTGTAAGTTTTGCTATGCAAACAGACGAAACTGCAATGACTGTAGGTGTGTAATCTAAAAATTCGTGTGATAAGAGTGATAAATCCATGAACAAGTTAGCAATTGCTGAAAGGTCTTCATCCGCATCTATCGCATCAAGGAAGCGATGAATGTAAAATAATGGTGTGACCGGATTGAGGTCACAATTTAATGTATTTACAACAAAGGGTTCTGTTGTCTTTATTTGTTCTTCTGTAAGCTGCTTTGAGCAAACCATTACCAAGTTGCTCAATGGAATATGAAGATTATCTTCTACTTTGCATGCAATCCAAATACATACGACGGACATTAACTGTAAGTCAGAGAAATCTATCGGTGTAGAGCAGAGAAGTATGTTGAGATAGTATATGGATTTGTAAAGTGATTCATCGACTTTTAACTTGAATAATGAAAATGCTTTCATTATCCAAGATAATGCAAGTTCATGATGTTGAGCAGTAAGATTTGTCTGTATTTCTGAAAAGCGTGATGTGGATAACGTCATACGCATTTCGATTGCTTGGCAATTTCTGATGATTTTTTCCGCTATCATTGGAACGTATTTGGGATCACCAATCTTCCTCTGATCGATATCTGGTATAAATAGTGTCGAATCTTCTTCGAATTGATCTTCTTCATCGTAGTCTTCTAAATCTGGATCTGAATACTCGTATTCTTCTTGTGATGCAATAGGTATTTCTGATTGTTTTGTCGCTAAGCTTGCTGAAGAGGGCTTAGAAACTTCTGCTGTATGTCTGTTTTGGTTGTTGCACCCGACTACTTGGAGCGGGAGCATTTTTATTGAAAATTTTAAACGATTTCATTGTTTCTACTGTCCATTTGTTGATAATTCTCGATATTCGTATTGATCACATCAAAAGTAATATTTTAAAGAAATATGGTAAATTCAATAAGAAAATGCTCATATTTGAATGAGGTATGATAGATGATGGCAAATTTTCTTCTCAAATTATCAAAATTCAATATTTTATATATAAAGAGAGGATGTATGGATAAAGTAACACCATAGAACATTTATATTATAGGTAATAAATATTTGTACAAGTTCAAATAATTAAAATATGATGAAAATAATTGGTCTTGATTCTTATTTTAAAATCCAGGCACAATAAATAAAGTTTTTAATCACCAATATGATTAACAGTACGAAAATAGATAAAAGACATATCATAACTGCTTATTTCAGGAATTATTTTTTATGTGATGAAAATCATATCGAAGGAAAAGCATAACATCATCATAAAATATATTCCCACATATGTAGATTTTCATAAATTCATCGTTAAACCATAACGTCAGATCTGTGAGTGGCAATTTTTTTAATTCTGCTAGGCTTATTAAATAATGATGAGAAACCATTTATATTTCCTGACACTTTATTAATTTCCCATGTTATTGCCGCAAATCAGATGGAAAATTTAATTTTCATATCTGAAATTAACCACAAAAAGCAATATAATCTAAAAATAACAATAATACAATATTTACAAATAAAAAATCAATGTTTTCCGCTATTTGATGCTAACGATGCTGTAGCAGACTTTTTCTTTGGTGGTTCTGGCATCGAAGAACTTGTCAAAGTTGGTTTCTTCTTCTTATCATTATCATGTTTCTTCTTCTTCTTGTCGTGATGGTCTGTGAAAGAACTCTCAGAGTCACTGTCTTCAGCAATTTTTCCTTGTTTCTTTTCCATCACGAGAGGATTCTTATGAGGATTAATCGGTTTCTTTGGTAATTTCATTGATGTTGGAGAAGAAGGAGCCATTCCAAAAGATCTCTCCTTGTAATCACCCATGTCCGCGAAAGATCCAGCCTGGTAATTGAACATGTTTTCGCCTTTTCTTACAGCTGCCTGAGCATGTGCTCCATACATTGGAAGAGGAGGGAATTTAAGTGGATTTGGCTTAACTTTCTGAGCCATTTTCTTCATGTTTGCGCGATTAGACTTATCGAAATACTGTCTGAAGAAATCGCACAAACCAGAAGTGAAGTTCAATCCGAGTTGTGGTGCGTAAGAAACGAAAGGAGTTCTAGATTCATCGTAAATCTGTCTGACAGTTTTAGTGTTTTTAAGCAAACAATGCATGATTACATCAACTGCGTGAGCCATGTCAGAAACAGATGGTGGAGAGTAAGAAGGAATCTCTCCAGCAATGTCTCCAATAGAGAATAAGAATTCCTCAAGTGCAGGGATTGTGTGTTTGAGAACTCTATCGTTCCATGATGAGAAAGAATCAGGAAGCAAAGCTCCGTGGAAAATATACTGCAAATTATCAGAAACTTGCTTAAGGAGCTGTGGGTTCTTGAGAACAATTCCTTCGAAGTATCTTTCTGGATGTGCTAAAACAGGACAAATGAAATCTAATCCGAAGAAACCGCCGATTAAAAAGTAAACCATTCCTCGTAAATTAAATTTCGTTGTAACATAAGATCTGATGATAGATGCGAAGTGTCTGATTTGGATAGGAATATATCCACTACTCATCATGATGTACTTGATAACGCCAAAGAATAATTTCTCATCTAATGTCTTGTGACGATCAATAAAAGTGACAACTTTTTTGAGGAACATCAAATAACTTGAACTGAATCTCTTGAACAAGGCATGTGAGAACTTCCTGAAGAAAGAGTCTTCAGCGTAAACTGCCATAGGATTCAAATCGTCGTTCTCTAGGATGTAACTGACAATAGTTGCGAAGAAAATATGGGATTTTCTCGCGTAAAGAGAAATCGTAAGGAATCCATCGGCAACTTCGTAAGGAGCATCGAGAGAAATGCATGCTCTGAGTAATATCATGTCGTTTGTAGTTAATGCTTCGTAGAATGATCTGTAGAAAATGTCAGGGAACCATGGAAGATCTGATGTAAAGAAATAAGGGAAAGGAACAGGTTTGAAAGGTTCTTTGTCTTCTAAAGGATCGAATTTCTCAAGACAATTAACCCAAAGATCAAGTTGGTCTTCATCCAAAGGATAAATATCCGCAATTAAGCCATCGTGAACATCTTTGATCATAAGACCTTTTTTATCCTTTGTCTTTGCAATTCTGTCAACAGTTCCGGTAGCTCTGATAATCATTTCGCCCATTTTGGATAATGAACAAACTACAAAGGTTTTGGATACTTTTTCAATATAGGCCCAATGGTTATCCTTGCCTTTGAATTTGCAAGGACAAATTGCGATCAATTCGTTTTCTCCGCAGTGATGGCTTGACCAAGTTTTAGGGAACAAAGCAAGCGAAAGAAAACGAAGAAGAGCTGTTGGGTCAGATGCTTCTGTTAACATTTTTACCATTGCACCAATCTCTGGTTCAATAGTATTGACAATTCTTGGAAAACTCGGTGGCCATGAGTTTGCCATTGGAAAACAGAACTTCTGAGGTATCAGTGATGTTAAATAATTCGTATATTGTGCAACTGAATCTGGTGGACTGGAAATTGTTTCACGAGTCAATTCATTGAATGAATTTACAAACATTTTATAGGAATCAGTAATTGGAATGTTTTGATATTGAGGTACATCGTTGTATTTGCACATTTTGAGGAACTCAGGAACACGGTTTCCGAGTTTTGTAAAATCTGTGATTGGCTCCTGATAAATATCTGCAAGATATTGACACGGTTTTACATCAGAAACGAGATCTTCTGGCACTTCGTATTCAGGAATTTCTTCCTCTTCTTCATCACCAAGTGCATTTAACACAGATTTCACACCCTGCTCCGTCATTTTTTCCTCCCGAATAACCGATTGACGTTAAATGTCACGTTTCTTACTCACGAGATTTTGGTATTTGACGTAAATACAAGGCCATTTGAGCGAAAAATAGTATGAGTAATCAATAAATCGAATGACTATATCAGTTCAAGCATTCCTTATTTGTCAGAAAAATTCTATCGGCGCGAATACCTCTCAAATTTTTATCGCAGTTGAGTGGTCATTCAAAATATTTTTGAGATAAAAATATGATACGATTATTTACAATCATATTCTTAATAAAATTAAAAGAAAATTAAAAATTTTTAAATTAATCCGAAAATAAACTAAAGAAAAATTGCTTTCTAAAAGAAATTTCTTATAATTCTTGAGTATTATCTTCATCAAATACGACTTCATTTCCATATCTATCAATAAATTGATAGGAAGAATAGTCAAAATCTAACAATGACTTCAATTCCATTGTTGGGACTGCACCAAGCTTCTCCAAATACTGCTTATATGGAGTAAGAGGATTTGGAACGATCACAGCCTTCATTCCGCCTGAAATTGCAGCTTTCACACCATTTGGTGCATCTTCAAAAACAAGAATTTCACTTGGATCTGTTAGATTTAACTTCTCCATTGTAATGAGGAAAATGTCAGGATTTGGTTTTCCTCGTGTAACATCGCTTCCATATGTAAATGCTTCAAACTTTGAGAAAACATCTTTATGATTGATTATTTTGACTTCAAATTGACATTGCTTAGCTCCTGTTGCAATTCCCAATTTGATATTATGTCTGGCAAATTTGTGAACAATTTCTCTTGCACCTTGGAGTAATTTACTAGTTGGATATAAGCCAATAGTGCAATTATCAATTTTTTTCATAAATTCGGCAGGATCACCACTTATGTTGCAACTATCCATCAGGGATTTTCCTAAATTAACTCCAGTCAATCCCATTGCTTTAACATGTACATCAAGCGTAAGTTCCATTCCGGTGACATTCTTAAAACATCGTGCAAAGATGTCCTCTGAATCTAATAGCAATCCATCGACATCAAATATAACTCCGCGAATCTTGGCAAGGCTGAGAAGGGCAATAATCATTTATTCGACAATTACGATTTTTGGAAATTTAAAGAATGCGGTTTTTTCCCCTGAAAAAAATTCAGAAAAATTGAAATAATTATTCTATTGTTTCGACTAAAATGAGGTAGTAAATACTATAAAAATGAAAATCGATGAGTTGACGCAGCATTTATGTTAAATGACACCGAATTTGATTTATTAATAATGAAAATTTATTGATATTGCAATAAATAATGCATGGAATTGTCTAGTATAACAAAATAATAGCAGGTTTAATCGTGTAATGGTATTTTCGGAGAAAATCAAAAGTCATAATTTGATTTAAGACATCTATTGCTATTTTGTTTTAATTGATTACAATTTTATTAAATAATGCGAACAAATAAACCAAGACTTATCCCACAAAAAAAGTCGTCATCTTCAAAAATTTTCTATATACAATTCAATTTTGAATCGAGAGCAAAATAATCGTTTCTAAAATACAGAAGAATTAGTGATTGCATAATCTGATTCTTATCCACAATATACAATTTGTTTATAAAGCAAATTGAATCATTATCATAAAACAAAGAACTTTTTTTTGAATCATATTCACAATATACAAACTTGTTAATAAACCAAACTGAAAACATTAATAAGTTTAATGCATTCATTCAGTTTTATGATTCTTTTTCACAGTAGGGATTGTCCATTTTGTTAATCTTATGCACAGTAAAACAACATGTTAATAATATATAAATAAGACAGATAATTTTTATCTATAGAAATTAAAAGCTAATATATATATAAACAACAAATTAATTGCATAGAAATATAACATTATAAGCCATACATATTTTCTTACCCAATATAGAAGCGTTTGGGAAAGAATTATGGTCACAAGTCATGAAAATTTTTGCAAGTTTCATCAACTGATTTCTTGCAGCTTTTGCTGGTGTTTTCAACATAACTATGTTGTTCACGAACGTAGTAACTATTGAAATACCACCAAGCATTGCAATCTGGTACATCAAATCAAGGAATGCAACAATAAACGTTTGGAAAGAGTCAACGTCGAGCATCTCGAGATCAGCAAAGACTTCGAACGCTCTGTACCTTTCCAATGCGATCAATATGCGGGACAAATCATCATTATTCTTAATATGCTTTGAAACAACGTAAAAAGCGTGTATTACAGCGGTTTGTTGACTTAATGGAGCTTGTGGGTCCGCTTTATCGATAATTGCTTCGAACAACTGGTCGGAATAGTCCTCTAGATCATCAATACATATGTAAATGATCGACCAAGCGTTGATTGCCTGTATTGATCGATCCAAATCTCCGGAATTGAGGTTTTCAAGGACATAAGGGACAATGGTAGTTAGGGATTGCGCTATAAACTGTGGATTTATGTATGCCATTGAACAAACCGCTGGCATTGCGTAGAACATATCGTTATCCATCCAAAGAGTAAGGATTGAGAACGCGTCCATGTATGTTTGCGATGGTAAATCCCCACATTTGTTGCAAAGAGGGGGGAACATCCGACAAACAATGGAGGCAAACGCTTCATCGCATTGTTTCATGAGGTTTATGAGGAAATTGAGGACATCGAGGGCGATATCAACGGGTATGCTCTCTTGGTAGACAAAATCGAAGCATTTCGTAAGCAAATAAACATTATTAATTGAGATACTTTCAAAAAGTGACTCCAAAGAGGACAAAATAGCATAATAACTGAAATCTACGTGATGTACAATATGATAGATGCAGTTAAGTGCGGGAATTCCCAGTATATCGTTCAATGACATCTCAAATAAGGTCGGAAACAGCTCCACGAAGTCATTTGACGTAGCGGAATGCACAATTATGTTACTGAGTGAATGAAGAGCGAAGTAAATGACGTTTACGCACTCATCCTGAAGATATCCGCAAACTCTTGTGAGAAGATTCGAGTAATAGTCAGGAACTTGGGGTAAATAATGCGATAAAATGAGTAAACATCTTATATTCGCTATCCTTGTACCAGTTTCGTTGTCATCTTGGTCAGATTCGAATCTTCCGTTCACATATTGTAAAAAAGTTTGTAAATATCGATCCGAAATCCGTAAAAGTGCCGAAAAAGCGGCATCAGAAGGGTCCCAGTTTGTTTCTGAAGGTTCATCTAAGGTATCTTGAGTCATTTCTTGAATTAGAACAGGAATAATGTTATCAGCGACTTCGGATAATGCATTGAACACTTCTTCATTGACATGCTCTATTGAAAATACTTGTTCCCAGAGATATGTTGCAGCCAACTTATTTCTTTGGGTTTCTGTATCAGAAAGAATGTCTGTAACGCTTTCCTGAAATACTTGAGGTATAAATTCGAGGATACTCGTGAAGTTTTCTTGAGCAACAGAACCAATAAATTGATAAACAACTTCTTTAAGGGGCTGATCAACGAGATGTGAAACTACGTGATTCATAAAGGCACAGGATTCATTTGTATCAAGCTCCTCGAAGATCGATGAACTTATATTTACCAACATCGCAATGACATGGTGAAGAACGGATGTAGAGTCTGTAAATGTTTTCGTATTGCATTCGATACTCTCGACGAGTTGAAAAATGGCTTGAAATATCTGAGACCTCGCTGTTTCTTCAATAACAAACTTTCTGAGGATAACTGTGAAGCATTCTGTAGCAGAAAGGACCTCAGCTGTATTGTCACTTCCAAGTCGTTCCGTTAGTTGATCTATTAGCGATAATTCTGGAAACATTTGCATTTCTGCTGATGCAACCACCATAAAGAGGTTGGCAGCTGCAGCTCTAAGAGGTTCGTATGAGTGTGAAAAGAAACTCAATGCAGCTTGAAATAAGTTTTGGGCAAGATCTGGCTCAACTGTAGAAGTACAAACTGCATATTTCGGTACTGTAATTATAATTGTTCGTTTAAACGAGTTTGTGATAAGTGTAATCATCAAGAACATCAATCTTTCTGAATTAGACTCGTCCCAGAGTCGATTTAATAGTTCAATAATGATATCTATTGGCTCATTTTCGCATTTTTCGACTAATTCTGCCTGAGCAGCCGAAAAGTTGTCTGATTTATCATTATCTGCTTCTAGAAGCAGACCAACAATGTCAGACATCACTTTTTCCAGCTTACTGCCACTTTTTTACTTCACATTTCAATGTTTTGAACTCGGACTCCCACGTATTCTCACAATAAGGGTTTCGTTTTGCGAAAAAAACGTACAATACGCAATTTCGCTAAAAAAACATTTAGCTAGCAATTTCGACCTTTGACTCCACTCAAGACGTCACTTTTTTAATTTTGCGGTATCATATTTTTGGAAAATCTTTATGAATATTATATAAAAGTCTCTTTAATATCTATATTTCATATTTTTATCGATTTTTAAAGTTTTTGCGAAAAGTATTCAATTATTTTTGCTATTTGGTCGGGTAAATGTCAGATTTGCGACATTTTCTGATATGATATTCAGATTCTACGTTGATAATAATGCTTATAGAACCCTCTTGCTATTGTGTCAAAATTGCGAAACCGATAGCAAAAATATCTCGCAATATCAAAATTGAGATATTGAGTGAATTATGCATTATAGAGATTAAAAATCTGATTTGTGAAAACATCTCATCAGTTTCTAGCTAATTCAAAAATCTTTACTATCTTATTCGATTAAAATGAAAAGGGAATAGTTTCATTATGCTTTAAATGACAGCCTTATAATATAATCATAGTTTTCGCTCAATATGCAGCATTTTTTTTTCGAAATCTATGGTCAATGTCCTAAATACTGATTGCTTTGCATTCATATCTCTTACATTTTCTATACCCACATCACTATTCATTGCTATTCCTATCTTTTTCATTTTTATTTGTTTCTCATAATTTCTCAAAAAACATGATAACTTGATATTTGTAAATATCATACTTTATAACGTAAATAAGAACTTGACCTATTAAGAAAAGCAGTAATGAAAAGAAAATCTGAAATTCATAAAAATTACAAGTTTCTGATGACAATTAGCTTAATTAAACCAGGTACAAGATTATATAATTGTATTTTCTATCCAATTATCCATATAATATCTTATCCAGAAAAAATAACTTGATCAATACCAAATGATTTTTTAACTAGTAAATAAAGTATTTTCTTTACACACACATTGGATATCATAGTTTTTTTTTTTGGTTTCGCAAAACATCCAAAAACAAATATGCTATAAAAGTGACAATTTTAGCAAAACGAAATCCTTACTCACAAACTTTGATTGTGATCCCTTCATCATATGCATTAAAATTAATTCAGATTCATAAGTAATTGATTGGTTTCAGAACAATTTGAGTACCGATGCGAGTCTATGATCAAATTATCATGTAAATTGTAGTTTTAGCATGACTATATTTATTGGCTGAAATATCAGTCAATTTCGGAAAGTTTTTGATAATAATTATTCAAATGTCCATGTCTATGCTATGCATTATTACTTTAAACTAAATTAATTTATCATTGTAACTTTCTTCTATGATATGGCAGCATATTAATGTTATCTTTTACCTAACATTTCGTAATTTTCGATAAAATTAAATGAAAAAGCATGCTATAATTGTGATTTCCATATGACTACTTCGTACCATTAACCTTTCTAGGTTAAAATGTTTCAAATTTTTTGAAAAAAATAAAAATATAAAATTGTTTTGAAAACGTGAGACTTTTTATATAAAACACATATTATTAAATTAAACATCATATGGCATATTACATGAGAAATTAAAATCGCTCGGAAATGAGAGCGAATCTTTAAAATCATCTAAGGATAGTAAATTGCATTCATCTAACGAAGGAGGAGGCTCGAAAGATGGCATGTAACTATAGGATTCCGTTGTTCCTGTAATAGGAATGTAAAAATCAGCCAATGGATCTACAAGAGTTGATGAAGGAGGTTTGAGTTGTTTTGGTATGGTAATGTTTGGTATTGGCGGCGCTTTCGGTGGTTGGCTTGCTTGCTTTAACTGATTTGTAGATATAATTGGTACGACAAATTTATTTTCCGGAGGAGAGGAAGCAGGTGACGCATTTTCACTCTTTTTCAACGGAATATCAATAGTAGGCATTAATTTCTTAATGAGTACCAAGCAAAGTTCTTTTGTCTTAGTTGTCATTAAATTTTGATAATCTTCGTCTGACATTTTCATTCGAGGAGTCCAACATGCTGCTTCTACTTCATTTGCATGAGCTTTAGCAAATTTTGTTAATTCGCTCTTGTCAATTTTATCTTTTCGAATTGAAGAAAGACAAAGAAGTGTTTTTTCTATAATATTAATGCTCTCATTTAGGCATCTCTTTCTCCGGATGTAGTTTCTACGCGGCAAATCATCACAAGGAAATGGTTGCATAAGATTTGGCCGCGAAATCACAATTTTATCGTCGGTGAAGTGATATAAAATTAGAATAAATCTGACAAAATGAAATTGTAAAATGAATCGTATTGACATTTCGGAAGGCATTATATGCTGCATACAATATAAATAATTGAAATTGATCCGGAAATCCATATTTGGAGCTGCCAAGACAATATCAAATTGCAATATCAATGCAAAGAGTATAAATTCATGCAGATGTAGTCATAGAAGATATAACTTCATCATAAAAATCATAAGAGTAGCAATTTTGGCTAAAATCTAAACAAAATTTCTAAGAAAATTAGATACAAATGTATAATTTGGTGGATTCCTATCTTACCTAATCAATAGTCACACGATATGTGACATTAACTTTCTTTCTGCATATCACCGAGTTCCAGATGTTGACGAATAGGAATATAAAAATGGAAACATTCATTGTTATTTCACTAAGCACAACTAAACTATATGTAAAAACTATCATATAGTATACAAAAGAAGAAATCAAGTTTTCATTTAAGATATCTTTTAAATTCCGCATTAAGGATAAAAATAACGATTCAAATTATATGAATAATTCATTAGGTAGAATGCGGAAAAAATTCCTATGAAATAAGCTGCTGAAATGCAAATAAGAATTCTGGAATTCAAGGGAGAAAAAAAAATCTAAACGGTCACCAATGACAACAAAGGCAAAAGAGAAAACAGAGACTGAAGAATTGCCAGATGTCATTCTCTTAAAAAAGGTATTCTATAAAAGGCAAAAATCATTCATTTCAGCACTCCAAGAAACGTTATATCATATATCACACGATAAAGTTGTCAGAGAAATCTTACAGAATAAATGCACAGCACAATTTTTAGCAGATAGAGTGAGTGAAGTCTTTAATGCTTCTCTAAATAACGAAAGAAATAGTTTTACAACATCGTTATATAAAAAAGTTCAGCTAATTGAAAATTTTTATCTTTCAAAACATATTGATAAGCTTAAAGACATCGAATCAAAACTTATGGCCGCTACAAACGAACAAAATACAGACGAACAACATCATATGAAACAAATTGTTGCATTGACTGAACAAGTTAAAGCTCTTCAAGATGAAATTGCAACTATCCATTCACTAGAAGTTGAAAAAGTAGCAGAAATCAAAGAAAAATCTCAACAAAAAATTTCAATTTTGAAAGATCCAACTCATATTTATTCTAACATCGATTTAACAGACATGATGACAAAGGTGAAGCTTATTCAAGCAGAATCTGATGCAATGCAGCGCGTTGCACACGTATTCTTTAAAAATACACGATCTTTGTTTAAATATCTTAAAAATAGTATGCTAAAGCGAATTGATATACTGGAAAAGGAGAAAACGTCACTATTGGATCAAATTAAACTTATGAAAAACGATGTTGAAGCTTGCAAACAAAATTATGAAGAAACAATCATACCTGCCATCAAAAAAGACCTAGAAATACAGCTTAATAACCAAGTAAACATTAATAAAAAATACAATGAACAGATAAATTACTTACAGAATGAATTATTAACTCTTAATTTACAATTTCAGCAAGTTCAACCGGAAACATTGCAATTAAAGTCACAAGTAAAAGCACTTGAAGATAAATTACAACTTAGTGATAAAGAAATTGCAAATTTGCAAACAGAACTTCGTAGAGAAAAAGAATATTCACAAAAAATAAACGAAGACTTGCAAATGAAGAGTTCGATGCTTGATAAAGTACAACTCGAAAAGACAACAGCAGAATGCGAAAGAATGCTATTACAACAAAGTAATTCAAAATATTCAAATCAAATTAACGAAAAAGAAGCCCAATTGCAAAAAGTTATTGATGAACTTGGAGTATATAGAAGAAAACTACCAGAAATAGATGATAAACGCCAAAGTCTTGAAAAAGATTTACAAAATTCAAATAATGAGAATAATTTACTCCAAGAAAGGATTAATCGTTTGGAACCAGAGCTGCAGCATGCAAAACGTCAAGTTGATACATTAAAAGAGAAATTAATTAAACTGAAAAATTCTCATGATTCAACTGTCAAAGAAAACGCAAACAACGCTGATTTAATTATTCAGCATGAAAATACAATCTCAAACATGAGTGATGAACTTGACCGTGTTAAGAATTTACTTGCAGAAACTGAAAAGAAAGCATCCGATCTTCAATCAAACTTCAAATCTCAAAGTGAACAACTCAAACAATCACAAGAAAACGCAGAAAAATTCGAACAAGAGAAGGAAAAACTCCAAAAAGATGTTACTGAACAACAAATGCTAATTTCCACACAAAAAGCAAAGCTCGAGTTTCTCAACGATTCCAATGAGAAATTAACTCAAAAACAAGCAGAATTAGAGAAGCAAAAAGAGCAATTGGAGCAAGAAAACAGAAAGATAACAACAGATATAACACAAGTAAAGTCACAACTAAGAGAACACAAAGAAAAGAACGACGTAAATTCCCAAAAAGTTGCAAAACTTCAAACAGAAGTTGGAAAACTCAAAGATGATTTGCAACAAGCGAAGAAAGAGGCACAACAAGCAATATCAACAGCAGAAGAAGCCAAGCGTAAACAAGAAGATCTTGATGCACAAAATGCTGCATTATTGGAACAAAATACAGTTTTGCAAGAAGAAAACGAAGATTACAAAAAGAAAATTGTTGATGGAAACCTTCTTAATGTCCAACTTACAGAAAGCAATGAAAGAAATAAAGCTTTATCATCACAATGTAATTCATTACAGAAGCAGTTGTTGGATCTTGCTTCAATTTCAAGAGATACAAAAGCTTTGGTTGATGAAGTTCAAAAACATATTCAATTCAAGAATGCTTCTGAACTATCGAATAAATTGAATGATTTGCAAAATGGTTTCAATCTTTCCAAGCAAATTCTTCAAGCTGTGAACGCAGAAAATCCAGAAGCATGCATTGCAACTGTCAATGACATGAAGAAGAGCCATGCTGCTCTTCAAAGAATACAAGCAGCAATGCCCAGTGTTGGTATCAATGAAATTGTTGCGCAAATCGAACCTCAAAAAGCAGAAATTGACAGATTAAATGCAGAGCAGAAAAGAATATTCGAAATGCTCTCTGCAGAACCAAATGTTGATATCTCTAAAACAATACAAGATCTGCTTTACCAACAAAGACATGTTGGAGAACAACTTGTCTCCGCATCCGATTTCATTTCTGAGGTATTAAATATTGTTACTGGTTCTTCATCTGGAACAAGTTTAGTTTTCCCTCTCAGAAATGATGAAAGGAAGAAATTGATTGAATTAGTATCAAGAATTAAGAAGAGATTTGATGATGACCATCAAACCGTTGATACAATTGTTGAAAGAGGAAGAGCAAGAGGTTATGTTGGAAATAATGCTATTGAAGCAGCAGAGTTTGGTAGTGTTATGATAGATGATGATGACAAGTCAAAGAAGTCTTTTAATCGACTCAAAGAAACTATTACTAAGAAATACGAAGCATCTTCAAGAAGAGAAGAAGAACTTCTCCAAGAAAATGCAAAACTAAGAACGATTGTTGGCTCGATGTCAAATAAATAAATGTTTATTATGTTTTATATACTTATTTAACGCAGGCTCTTTTTATAGTTATCATATTTTTTGTTCAAACGCATATGCATAAGTGATTATTCTTCTAATTTAGCAAGAAGAAGCTTTTGATAAGGAAGTTAGATCTATGAAAGAGGTGGTATTGATATACATTTCGTTCTTTCCTTCAATTTTGGTCTCTGATTTGATAAAAGTCGAAGAATGAAAGCTATTAATCATTTATTTTTCATGAGGGATACACGTATATTCAGAGCATCATTTATGTACATATAAAGAATCTTTCAATTTGAATTTTGATGAATTTACGATGGAAGATTGAGGAAGAAAAATAAGGCATATTCAATAATTTGCTAATTTATCACGAAAGAAATATGTTTCGCTAATTATCAATTGCATTTATGATCAAATTAATCATTTTATCGTAATAAAGACATTCAAAATATTTTCAATATGTTATTGTTTAATATTGGATCTATGACTACATATGTTGATAATTGAACTTTGATAGTTCTCAAAATATGTCACTTTTCAAAAAGGCTTTTCTTGATTTTTTGAGAGGAAATTTTCCAGATAATAACGAACAAAAATTTAACTACCATTTTGCAAATATACCCATCACATTATATTCCTCAGAAATATCATGTCTAAAGATTACAATGATCGTAATGATTTGAATGGACTGAAAACTGTCAGTTTTCAATGTCAGTGCAAGCTGAAACTACAGACGAGCTTCCTGGACGCTACAAACGCCCCTACGGATACATGCATCACAGAAAGACAGACTTAAATAATGCAAGATGGATGTCACATCTCGCAGATAGTACAAAGTTATCACAATTAAATTTGATTGGAACTCATGAAACCTTGGCATTTCATGGTGGTGATGCTGTTAAATGTCAGTCATTACCATTGAAGACACAAATGATTGCTGGTATTCGAGTTCTTGATATCCGTTGTAACCAACATGATGACGATTTCTATATCCATCATGGTTTTGTAAGTCAGCGTGCTATGTTTGCTGATATTCTGAAGATTATTGTCGATTTTCTCAAAGAAAATCCCACAGAAACAATCTATATGCGTGTTAAACACGAATATAAGAAAAAGAATAACAAAAAATCATTTGAAGAAGTGTTTTTAGAGCGTATTGAACCCTATAAAGACTATTTTTGGCAAGTTGATAACAGTTCTAATTCAACAGACCCTCCTCTTTCAGAAACAAGAGGTAAAATCGTTCTTTTACAACAGTTCACAGCAGATAAAACGTACGGCATACAATGGTATTCATCTCCGGTTAAAATCCAAGATAAATACCATTTCAAAAAGAATTGGCAACAGTACACTAAATGGGAATCAATTTTCCTGCTAATTCCGATGAAGGAAATATCTTCATTAACTTTCTTTCTGGATCTGGATTTTCCTTCCCATATTTCGTTGCTAGCGGCCAATCTAGTCCACAAACCATTGCTCCACGACTGTTAACAGGATATGTAATGTCTACTTCAAACTTAAAGTGGAGAGATTTTCCAAGGAAAGGTTGCAGCTGCTGTGCTTCAGTTCTTTTTGAAGGAACAAACAACTTACTCATTAATTACCTTAAAAAGAATCCATCAATTACAAGAGTTGGAATAATCTATGCAGATTTTCCAGGACCAGACCTTATTAACCTCATTATTTCCATGAACAAAACCGAGCAATGAATTATATAATTAAATTTGTGTTATAATATAAACCTTATTTCTGTTAATTTAATTTTTCATTCATAAAGTTTCTTTTTGAAAGAGGTTTTCTCAATATTGGGTAAAGGAGGTATATTTTATAAACTTTTTATATTTTATTCTAACATTTTATTGAAATAATGGCCATGATTTCTTAGCAGTTGGACTCCTTTGACCTTCTTTTGGTGATTTCTTTGAATCTGGCGAAGAAATCTTAGAAGGAGAGAAATTAGAAAGAACAAGATGGCCTGAAATCTTTTGTAGTCTTTGTATCGATGAAAAAACAGCAACTAAAGTTAACAAATTAGTTTGTTTCTCCTTCTTCGAAGGAATTCCTGCTCTTAACAAACCAGATTTATACAAATCCTTTTCTATTCTTAATATCTGCAGCTTTCTAAATGTTTGCCTATGTCCAATAGAAGAGAGAATCGCGTCTTCAAGGCAGCTTCTTAATTCATTTGAATTTTTGACAACTGAAAAGTTATCAGAAATCAAAACATGAATTCTTTTTGCCCATTCTTCCCATTTGTTCAAATTCTCAGCGTTCTCATATTTGAGCTGACATTTCTTGAGTAGATCTTTTGATTCTTCTTTGTTCTTGATGATTTCTGTCTTTGATTGCTCGATTTCTTCTTTTTCTTTGACAATTTTTGAAATTTTGTCAAAAACATTTTCATTTGAAAAAGAAGAATCCATTCCGAGCAATTTCTTCATTTTCTCGAAAACGAAAGCCTTTTCTGACAAGTCCTTAATATTACTATCTTTTGATTTAATGATATCTTTAATTGACATCATGAAATCAATTGCTTTTTCTTGAGAAATTTCATCTTCACTTCCTAAAACTTTATATTCACTAAACAAATGAATCAACTCAATAATAAACTTATCCATTTCTTCTTTGCATTCTGCTTTTGCTTCATTGAGTTTTGTAATGTAACTGGATTCCAAAGACATCATTTCCATTTGAGATTTCGATTCCATCAAAGCTTTTTCTCTTTTTAGTTTTTCATCAGAGTTTTGCTTTTTAATTTGCATCATCTTCTGTTCAACGGATAAAGAGGAAAGTCTTGACTTTAAATCAGTAACTTCTGCAGTCATCTTTTCATATTTTTCTCTCATTTGTGTCTCAGAAATTCTTGAATTATTAAGTTTTGATCTCAAATCAGTCAACAAACCATCGTAATGAGATCTCAACTCATTTGCGCGAGTTGTTTGTATATCAACCTCTGCGCGCAGTTTGTTTACTTCTTCTTTAAATGCTTTCTTCAAGTCTTTTAGAATAAGACGATGATTACTGTCACTTTTTTGTAATTGTAAATTCAAATCTTCATTTTGTTGAGAAAGATTTTGAATTTCTTTCATTTTAGAATCAATAAATGCATTCATTTGTGTATTTATTTCATTGTCTTTGATCTGATCTATGTTTGTGATATGTTCTTTCTGCATTTCCGTGATTTTATTCAATTCTTCGTTTTCTTTTTGAATTTTTTCAATTAATTTTTCTTTATTTTCCAAATCATTTTTGATTTCTTCGATTTCGATCTTCAAAGTCTCCAATTCTCCAACTAATTCTGTCTTTTCATTTTCATAGTCGATTTTCATTGTTTCTATTGTTTCATTTTGATCATGAATCGTTAATTCCAATTCATTTATCTTGTTTTCTTTTTCTTCATTTTCTTCTTTTCTTTTTTCATTTAATTTTGCAATTTTAATCTCAAGATTTTCTGTGTAATTCTCTTGTTCTTCTTCATTAAATTCCTGTGAACTGGCTATCAACGCAAGACATTTCTCAGCTAAATCTGTTTCATCATTATTTCTCAACAATTTTTGGATGTTTTGTATTTTTTCTTCCAAATTTTCTTTTTGTAATTTTTCTTGATCGATTTTCAAAAGTAATTCCGATTTGATTTGTTCAATTTCCTCTTGTTTATCGGAATTAGACCTCGAAAGTTCTTCCTTAAGCTGTTTCAGTTCATTAACAACAATTCTTCCTCTTTGCTGCAATTCATTACTGTATTTACACAAAACAGAATTGGAAAGAACGAAAGAATGAAGCAAACTAACAAGTTCTGAGTTGTTGGCGTGATCAGCAAATGAATCTAATGATAGAACTTTATCAACAAACGTAGGAAAGCTTGCAAATGACTCGGCCAAAGGTAAATTTTCTGTTTCTATCTTGTTTTCTTCAATAAATGACTGTATTTTAGCCATTTGACGCTTCAAATCATTAGAGAAGTTCTTTGGTTTGTCAGTGGAAATCAGCCAATCTTGGATTTCAGCACTATTTGAAATTTGATCAACAAATCTTGTCAAACTTATAAGATATGAGGTCAATCTCTTATTCTGTTGAACTAAATCATTTTGGTTAATTGTTTCGGGCTCTGTTTTGACGTTTTGGTTTCCTAATAAATAAATAATTACGTTTTTAATACGTTGAACGGGTAAATCATTAGAAATTAGTATTTCTTTGACTTTTTCGGTTATTTGTGTCTCGTCAAAGTTTTCTTTAATAAATTCTCTGATGGTTTCAGGAATTTCAGAATGATTGCATTGTTTTGGTTGAGTTTGAGATGGAACTTCATTAATTTTGGCTTGTAGAGACTCCAGTTTCGATTTCAAACTGTTGTTTTCTTTGATGTATCTGTTAATTTGTTCTCCATATGAAGCCAAAGCAGAGGATTGCTGCGAAACAAGAACAACCATCTTATTTTTGATCTGACTTTCATTAGAAAGGTCTTTATTAACCTCGTCAAACTGTGTTGTTAAGTCTATTAAAGCCTCATTTAAATTTTTGATTTGTTGATCCTTGAAAGCGAGTTGGACTTTCATGGATTCATCAGTAGATGATGGATTTTTGTTACGAAGATCATCAAGTTCGATTTGGAGTTTCTCTAATTTCATTTGTAAAGTTTCTGCTGCTTTATCTTTGGATTTGATAGCATCAGTTAGATCTGCAATTTGTTTTTGATATTCTTTACATTTGATTTTAGTCCTTTTCGAAGAGTTTTGTAATTCAGAAAATTTTTCGTTAAGTGTCTCTAAATCTGTTTGAGCAACAAAAAGTTGGGATTGACACGATTCTGTATTGGAATTCTCGCATTTGGAAAGACGATTCTTGAGAGATTTGTTTTCTTGAAGAATTTCTCCAAGATGGGCTTTCAAATCAGCAATTTGAGCGGTATAGTCGTTGATCTTTGATTTAAGATATGAATTTTCTGAGGATACCGAATCCGTTTCGTTTATTAAATTGTCTATTGAATTTGAATTTTGAAAAGTTTCTGGTGAATTTGATTTGAGCTGGTTTAACTGCTCTGAAAGTCTCGAATTTTCCTCTCGAAGATGTTCTATTTCTTGGTTATTTTTATTCTTTTTCATAAATCGTCGAATTCCTTTAGTGACATTTGAATAAGTAGACGTATTTGTAATCTGAAATTCATATGATAGATATGCTAATAGTTTATGAAGAAATATTTCGCTTTCATTTGTTGATTCAGTTGAAGTTTGTGAAGAAATGAATGAATCGCTTGAATCAAGAAAGCTTGCACTAGAATTTTCTAACTCTATCTCTGTAGCCGACATATTTGACTTCTTAGGCGATTTATTCGTCATAACTCGGCTTCAGAGAATATTTTTTTTTCGCGGGCTTTTTTCATGTCTCATTCGATGAAGGGAAACAAGGACAATACAATAAGAATTGCGTAACTAAGAAGAAAAATTCAGAAGAATGACAATCGGGTCAATTTCTGAAAAAAAAAAGTTGTGAATTTTATTTAACTTCCAAAGATAAAAATAACCTAACATATTACAAAATCATTTTACTCTGATTTAACTTGGATAATAGCCCAAATATGCATATAAGAACCAATTAACCTTTTTGAAACGTCCTTCATTCCATGTTAAGTAGAAAAGTTGACGTTTATTGTCTTCTTTTCGGTCATATACAAGAATTGTATTGGTGATATCATCATCATAGCTCAGAAAATAAAATTTTGCAACAATTTTATTATTGGGACTGAAATCTATGCCACCATTTACTGCAATTATAGCATGGTTTGTGGTTTTGCGAAAGCATCTTGTATCAACAAGTGGCGTTTTGGAGAATTTGGGATCGCTAATAATAACATGGAAATTGAACTCGTTTGATTTAAGAAGAATTTCCTTTAATTCCTTTTGAGATAAAGGTTTAAACCTTTCAAATGTTAATTTTGCATATACGAAAATATCATTTCCCGGTGCATTAAATTCAGTTTGATAGGTTTTTGCTATAATTATTTTATCAGTTTTACCATTAATTAAAACAAAGATTGGCTTTGGGAGAGGATCATTATAGCGATCATACCATGATGACCTTTTAATTTTAATTTTTTGATCAAACTTTTCAAGCTCTTTTACGAAGCGACATTCAATGATTTCGTTCAGTTGTGTATTTTGAATTTCTCGCTTATCATGTAGAACACATAGTGATTCATGGCGCATTAAAAGAATTAAATTTTTGTCACTTTTTAAAATTTTGATAATTCAAAAATTTCAAATTTTTCGGTTTTATCTTTCAAAAGTAAAGATTCGATTCATATGCATAGACTGAATAAATGAGAATGGTATTTTGCAAAATAAAAATTGAAGGGTTTTTATTCAAATTTTCAATTGGCTTGTTATAGACCGAAAATAGATTTTTTCAGTTTTCTCTTCAAATAATTGAAAGAATGATACTATTATAGGTTTATTATGTTATATAGCATATAATCATGATATAGCCGAAAATTATAAGTTTTGAGAAGATTGAATATAACACAAATAAATTTGAATGTAAGTTAAATTGCTTGTTGTTTTTAATAGCTATTTAATGAGAAATCCAATATTGCAAAATTCAAATTGAATCATTGAAAGAACAGAAAAAGTCATTCTTTTCAATTTCGAATATGTTTCATTGTATTTATAATTATATGGCAAATAAGATATTTAAACTTGATTTTTGAAGGAAAATTCACAAAATTGAATAAATTCAAATAATTTTTATTCAAAAATAAACTAGTTATTTGAGTTTAATACTAATTATCTATTCAAACTACAAAGTTTGTAATTTAAAATATTTTGTGAGATCAGCTTGAATTAATTCAAGGTTCTTTTCAATTAATATTAATGACCATATTACGCATTTTCGAACATTCTAAACCAAATATATAAAAATGGGAGACGAATGTTAAATTTGCTAGACATGGGGGAGTTGTTTACCGAGTTTTAGCTCTTATCTCTAACAAAAAATTAATTTTTAAAAAAATGACCGAATACGTTTCACAGCGAGAAAAAAATAAAAGGCAAGATAGAATTTTCTAGACATAAAGAAGTTGTTTACCGAGTTTTAGCTCTTATCTCTAACAAAAAAATTAATTTTTAAAAAAATGACCGAATACGTTTCACAGCGAGAAAAAAATAAAAGGCAAGATAGAATTTTCTAGACATAAAGAAGTTGTTTACCGAGTTTTAGCTCTTATCTCTAACAAAAAATTAATTTTTAAAAAAATGACCGAATACGTTTCACAGCGAGAAAAAAATAAAAGGCAAGATAGAATTTTCTAGACATAAAGAAGTTGTTTACCGAGTTTAGCTCTTATCTCTAACAAAAAATTAATTTTTAAAAAAATGACCGAATACGTTTCACAGCGAGAAAAAAATAAAAGGCAAGATAGAATTTTCTAGACATAAAGAAGTTGTTTACCGAGTTTTAGCTCTTATCTCTAACAAAAAATTAATTTTTAAAAAAATGACCGAATACGTTTCACAGCGAGAAAAAAATAAAAGGCAAGATAGAATTTTCTAGACATAAAGAAGTTGTTTACCGAGTTTTAGCTCTTATCTCTAACAAAAAATTAATTTTTAAAAAAATGACCGAATACGTTTCACAGCGAGAAAAAAATAAAAGGCAAGATAGAATTTTCTAGACATAAAGAAGTTGTTTACCGAGTTTTAGCTCTTATCTCTAACAAAAAATTAATTTTTAAAAAAATGACCGAATACGTTTCACAGCGAGAAAAAAATAAAAGGCAAGATAGAATTTTCTAGACATAAAGAAGTTGTTTACCGAGTTTTAGCTCTTATCTCTAACAAAAAATTAATTTTTAAAAAAATGACCGAATACGTTTCACAGCGAGAAAAAAATAAAAGGCAAGATAGAATTTTCTAGACATAAAGAAGTTGTTTACCGAGTTTTAGCTCTTATCTCTAACAAAAAATTAATTTTTAAAAAAATGACCGAATAGTAGTAGGATATGACGGGTTTAGTGACTTTTTTTGTTACATCTATATATAGACGATGCATTAAAATATATTTATTTATAAATCATTAAAAAATTAACATTAATTTTAAAATAATTTATTTTTTTATCTTTTATAAAAGAAGCTATATATAGATGATGTCAGATATTCCGCGATTAATTAAACATCATTTAAATCCTGAATGGGTTAAACTTCAATTTAAAAATGAAGATTGTGAATTATTAAATGAATATGAAAGCCAAAATAAGCTAATGAGGTATAAATAAATGATAAAGAATATTTAATTTCATGGAATCAATGGTCATAATCAAAGACCTCATAAACGAGAAGAAGAAATGAAAATAATGAAATGGAAATCATTGATGACATTAAAGAGGATGGAATTCATATAAAAATAAGAAGTCTGTTTGACCTTAAGAATGATTTATATATAAAAATAAAATAAACTTCTTACGAAAAATTAAAACTTAGTTATGTTTATTATTATATTTTTTATTTGTATGAAATGAGGTCAAAACTAACAACGTTAAAAAATTAGGATTCACAACGAGGAAATAAAGGATATATTAGAGGAGGCGGGTTATGAAGTTAATAAATATTATTTAAGAAATTGTCAAAAATTTGCCGAGTTATTAAATGATTTAAATTATGATGGAAAAATGAATAAAGATGATGTTATAAATTCTTATATCCTACATCTGAAGAAAAAAACCCGAAGAACCTGATGTTTTCCCTGAATATATGAAGAACGGATTAAAGATGATGAATACAATGAAATTGAAAGACTGAAAAAAATAAGAGATGAAATAGATGAAAAAATTAAGGAATTAAGAGAAGTTGAAAAAATAATGAAAATGAAGTAGAGGTTTAATGAATATCCCAGCTTCAAATCAGAAGTACAGAAATCTCATGAAGAAAGATATAAAAATTATGTCTCAGAATCAACACAAAATTTTATTGATGGTGAAATAGACGAAACACTTTCAGAAGAAGGTACTAAATTTATTCGTAAACATAAGTTACAATTTATTGATAATGAAAGAATACCCCTGTATCCTACTTTCACCACCTTTAGATTCCGAAAAATTCAAAAAAGCTCTTAAAAACGTTGACATATGCAACTAATACGATTAAGAAAGAAGATCATGATATTTAACACAAATTATTATTTAAATAAATGCACAGGGTGTTGATAAAGTTTTTGATTTATTAGATAAAATATCAAAAGAAACCATTGGAACATATAAAATTTTATGTGATTGCGGTTCATTGTTGAAGATACTAATAATGTTCATATGAAAGAACAGCACCGAAGGAAGATGAAGTTGAAAGGTCTATACCATTCGTTATTAAGAACATAAAAGATATGAAAACTTATAAACATTATATTTATTCATTTATTTCAGAAAAAACGGAAGCAACCCATAAAACATCTTCTCATCATTTTATAGCTATTCATACTTTCCTTTTCAAAGTTGTGAAATTAAATAAGACAGGAATTAGATTTAATGTATCAGGGTACGCATTCTTGAGTAAATTAAAATGTATTCGTCACGTCGCAGATGATAAAAATTTATGTGTTCTTAATTCATTTTATGGCTTTAAAAAATAAACTTTATTTTTATTTATTTTTTAATTTTTTATTCTTACATAAATGAACAAAAACGGAACAGCTAAAATGAATGATAATCAAATTAGAGCAGAAGGTAGAAGGTTATTTAAACGCTTCTATAACATTCCTGATGGTGCTAATCCTAAAACTCGTAGAAGCTATTTAAATGAAGCAATAGATGCATATGAAGGTTTGACATTTCATCAGAAAGTGAGAGATTAGCGAGAATGTTAAATGTTAATATTGATTTCTATTATTGTGATCCTCAACCAGAAGACGTGGACATAAATAAGGTAGACTTTCCATTAGTGGAATCAATAATGATAGATCCAGAATTTGAAACAGTAAATATTTTATTAACACAGAGTCCATGTGGAAAACTTCACGCTGACAGAATAACAGACGTTGAAGTACTCACCGGCTATAAAGTTTGTCCATATTGTAAAGAAGAAGTTTATTCTATCCGTGATGATCCAGAAAGGAAAAACCA